GCGGGGGCTGTGGGGGCCGATGCAGGGACTGTGGGGGCCGATGCTAGCGGGGGCTGTGGGGATCGATGCAGGGGCTGTGGGGGTCGATGCAGGGGCTATGGGGGCTGGCCCCAAGGCTTACTACTCTACCCAATGCCTCCAGGGAGAAACTGGTTTTCCTGGCCGCCCGGGGTTGGCAGGACGCAAAGGAGACGCAGTGAGTGTCAGGGTAGGGTACATCCTAAATGAAGAGGGGCTGTTGGCTAGAGAGCCAACCTCACATCTTCTTTCCTCTAGGGAGAGCCTGGTATGCCGGGTCAGTCCGGGTCTCCTGGCAAAGAGGGCCTGATTGGTCCCAAGGTACAGGGGCTCTTGATAATGGACATGATGGTGGTGGAGTCAGCTAGGACAAAGGAAGTCATGATAGGTTGTCAAGGAAGATCGTGGCTTTGGAGGTTCATGTGTGGCTGGTTTGAGATTTCAGGAGAGGTTGGGGTCACAGTAGACAGGATGAAAGGGTAGAAGGTGTGTGTGTGGGGGGGGGTCATGTCGTACCAGGGCAGGACTTGAGTGGGGTTGGTGTCCCTGGATCATAGCTGGGACAATAATAGATGCTTGGATCATACACTGTGGAGGGCATTGGTCCAGGGACACACAAAGCTCAAGGATCTACAAGAGCAGAGGATGTCAGGGCTGAGTATATCTCCTGCTTCTTCTGTTTCCAGGGTGATAGAGGCTTTGATGGGCAGTCAGGACCCAAGGGTGACCAAGGCGAGAAAGGGGAGAGGGTAAGTTGAGGTCAGGTTTGTGATCTTAAGGGAGCATTGTCTTTGGGTAGTGGTTTCATCTAGAAGGGATTTTAGTCATCAACCCTCTTCTACCCACAGGGGTCCCCAGGAGTTGGGGGCTTCCCAGGTCCCAGAGGGAATGATGGCTCTAGTGGTCCCCCAGGGCCACCTGGGGGTGTTGGTCCCAAAGGCCCTGAAGGACTTCAGGGGCAGAAGGTAAGGTTCCCCAACTGTGGCTCCTGACCCTGGACACTTCGCTCCCTGCTTTTGTAGTTTTTTGTTTGTTTTAGACAGGATCTCACTGTGTAGCCCTGGATGGCTTGGAACTCTACATGTAGATCAGGCTAGCCTCAAATTCAGAACTGTGCTTGTCTCTGCCTCTCAAGTGCTAGGATTAAAGACATGTGCCACCATGCTGACTGTTTTGTTTATATGTTTTAATTTTTTATTCTGTGTCTATGAATGTCTTGCCAGAACACATGCCTGTGTACCATGTATGTGCTTTTTTTTTTTTTTTTTTTTTTTTTTGCTGACCTGGAACTCACTTTGTAGACCAGGCTGGCCTTGAACTCACAGAGATTCACCTGCCTCTGCCTCTCAAGTGCTGGGATTAAAGGCAAGCCCTGTATTGCTGAGCTATGCTCCCAGCACCCCCAACCATCCCCTCCTCTCTAAATGATGAACCTACAGCCCATGCTCTGGTCTCCGTGTTCCAATCTCTGAAAGTGTGACCCTCTATTTGCCTGTGTCCTGTCACTGTCACTGACCCTGCCTACTTGGTCCTTGTGTAAACAGGGTGAGAGAGGTCCCCCTGGAGAGAGTGTGGTAGGGGCTCCTGGTGTCCCTGGTACCCCCGGTGAGAGAGGGGAGCAGGTAAGTGTGGATTCCTGGAGCCGGAGATTAGCACCATCTCTGGTGTCCGTGAGATCTGGTCACAACGTGGTCACATTTGTTCCACATAGGGGCGACCAGGACCTGCTGGCCCTCGTGGGGAGAAGGGAGAAGCTGCACTGACTGTGAGTTTGGCCTGAGTGGGGTGGGTCACCCAGCACCCTGACCCCAGGGCTCTTGATCTGACATGACTAGTCTTGCATCCCTGTATTATGCGACCCATGATTCATGGGTTCTTCGGGGGGCCTTGTGGTCTTGTGTTCCCAGGAGGATGACATTCGGGGCTTTGTACGGCAGGAGATGAGTCAGCACTGTGGTGAGTGGGTCTGATGTGGAGTCTCGTGCCCCCACCCCATCCCAGGACACCTAGATAGGGCTGGCAAGTTCTATAGAGGGAAAATGGAGATCAATGGCTACATGCTAACAGGCTTCCTTTAGTGGCAGGAGATAGATGTGGGTGGCTGCATAGTGCTCTGTGTTTGGAGAGGTAAAGCGGGAGCAGAGCTGTCCTGGCAGCTGGGGCACAGGCCGGGGAGTGATGATTCTGGGGGCCCTGTTTTCATCTCTGGGCCTCCTGCCTCTGACCGTGGTCCCGTTTCCCTGGTCTATTCCCAACTTCCCATCCCTGCTCGCCCATCTCCTGTACATTTCTTCCTGTCTTCCTCCTTCTCTCCCCTCTTCACCTGTCACTGTTCTCTAGTCTCACTCCTTTGTCTCTCGCTGGCTCTCCTACTGTATCTCTCTATATCCTACCCCTCATGCGGGCATCTTTCGTCTCTTTCTCCATCTTCCCGCCTTTTCCTTTGTCTCTTGTTCTCCATTTCTCATGGCCTCATTCTACCTTTTTCTGTCCCTTCCAGCCTGCCAGGGCCAGTTTATTGCATCCGGATCACGTGAGTAGCTTTCTCTATCTAGAACTTTCTTCATCTAAAGCCCTGCCTGCATTGCCTACCGTTCGTTCCGGTTCTCTCAGTAGGGGTGTGGCTAGGGTGGCTGACCATGATAACCGGGGGTGTCATCACCTGCCCTGTGCTACAGGACCCCTCCCCAGCTATGCTGCAGATACAGCTGGTCCCCAGCTCCACCATGTGCCTGTGCTCCGGGTCTCTCATGTAGAAGAGGAAGGTGAGGCTGACAATTCATGGGGCATAGACAGACTGGGTACAGATATGCCATATGGGTATTCATGTGTTAGGGCACATATATAAAGTCTACACAGGAGACACACACACACACACACACACACACACACACACACACACACACTGGGGGAGACAGACGCTGATTACTCTGTCCCAGAGCCAGCAAGGCCCTTTCCACAGCATACCGCACCCTGCCTGCAGGTCGGGTACCTCCTGAAGATGACGATGACTTCTCTGAGTACTCTGTGTATTCTGTGGAGGACTACCAAGAGCCTGAAGTTCCTTGGGATGGTGATAGTGATATCAAGGGCTGGGACCAGAGAGGCTCAGGTAGAGGCAGATGAAGCCCATTGCTGAACTTTTGCTGATTCTCTGATCCCCACTATCCCCAATGACCTAAGCACCAATGACCGTAGACCCCTGCTCCCTACCACTGGATGAGGGCTCCTGTATTGCATACACCCTGCGCTGGTACCATCGTGCCGTGCCTGGTGGCACAGTCTGTCATCCCTTTGTCTATGGTGGTTGTGGAGGGAATGCCAACCGTTTTGGAACCCGTGAGGCATGTGAGCGCCGCTGCCCACCCCAAGTGGTCCACAGCCAGAGAGCAGGTAGGGGCCAAATTCTCTCAGTGAAAGCTGCTCCTACATATGTCAGGTGCCTGGGTGAGAAATCCCTGAGCCTGGGGGGACCTGGGGCAGATTCCACAACAAAGATCTGGCTACAGAGCCCCAGCTGTGGGACCTGCATGGTATCTCTCTGTGTCCCTTTTTGCTAAGGGTCCCCTGTCTGAGTCAGAGCCCACACTCAATCGTCATGGATGCTTTGCCATGTTTCTGTGCAGATTTCATGTTGGGAAAGGAGGTCAGAAGGCTGAATGTTTTCTGATGTGTTCCACATAGGTGCTGCCTAGGACTGAGGCCTAGATGATGAGCTAGATGGTCAGCAGTTCCTGGAGAGGGCTCAGCAGGGTCCTGCCGTTCTCCGTTTGGTGCTAGAGTTCTGTGTGCCTGTGATCGTGTGTGCGTGTCCACTATTTCAGTGACTTGGTCCTGTGGGTCTAGCCTTCCCCCTTGTGGACAAATCCCCATTGTGGTGCCTGCTTTCCTGGCAGATGACTCACTTGTTGGGGGTGGTTGTGGGCAGCGAATGGATATGACTAGTGTCCAACCTGCCCCTTGACCCAAGGCTGTGATGCCATGGTGCTGTTTGGGGGGGGGGAGCATTAAAGCTGCTGTTTTAAAAGGCCCTTGTTGTTGATTCTTCTGGGTGAGATGGGTTATCAGGAGGCAAACTTCCCTGGTGGGGAGGGGTAGTCTGCATTACATTGCATAGTATAGAGTCCTCATACCGGGCCCTGGTTATTTTCTATGCTCTTATTTTCCTAATCCCCCCCCCAGAAGTAAATAGGGTGGGGGCTAAGGAAGTGTCCTTACTGCTCCCTAGGAGGGGATGAGTCATAGGTGGGGGACTGCCTCGTGCCAGGAAACATGCCCTAGCTCCTACCCCAGGAGGCTGGGGGAGATAAATGGGCCTTGAAGTGGAGTGAAGGGTCAGGGGGCAGGGAGAGCATTGCCTGGCCCCAGCCCCTGCAGCTCCAGCGTCCACAGCCTTCCCCGAGGAAGCTGGCAGTGGTATGACCGGCATTGGGTCGGGATGGGAAGGAAGGGCCTGGGGTTTGGTGAGTGGAGATGTCTGGGCCGGGGAGGATCCGGGGTCCCTGGTTTCTCTGCTTCACTTGCTCCGTCTGTCCTCCCTGCTGTCCTTTCCCACCAGCCATGCTGCTTGGAGCCTGTCCCCATTGTGTCCCTGTGGGCGTTCTGTTTGAGTCTTTCTTTCCATCTAGAAGACTCTGGATGGTTTCTGTCTTCCCATTTTGCCTTGTCCCTGCCCCTCCCCCGCCGTCCCCTTTCTTTCTCTGCCTCTGCGTGTCGCTGTCCTTAGCTCCTACTCTTCTAATTCTGGTGTCTTTGGAGTTTTAGACAGGGTCTCATTATGTAGCCCAGCCTGGCTTCAAATTTTGATCCTGCCTCAGCCTCCCAGGTGCTGGGATTCTGGACATTTGCCACCATGTCTCAGTACACATTCCCATCCTTTCTGCCTGGCTCCTGGCTCGGCTTTCGTTTTCTTTGACTCTGTCTCTGTCCTTGGCCTCTGCAATCTCCCCAGCCCTTCGTTGTCCTTGTCTCTTGCAGTCTGAATCCTTCCAATGAACCACAGCTGCAGCGTCCAGACCCTGAGCCCGTTTTCTCCTTACAGCATGATGGCCAGGTGGACACTGGCGGTACTCAGGGTCCTGATGCTGGGCAGGGTCCTGTTTGTCCCAGGGACCCCTATCCCCACCTTCCAGCCCCTCCCTCGGAACTATTCGGACACTCTTCCCTACTTGGTGGCCTTGGAGAGCCACTCAGCTGCCACCACAGAGCCCTCGGCTTCTTGGAGCTACTCCAAAGCTAAACCTCACCTGGACACACGTGTCACACTCTCTCTGGATGTCCCCATCGGCCTCCTGCGGATCTTACTGGAGCAGGCCCGGAACAAAGCTGCCAGGGATCAAGCTACCACCAATGCTCAAATACTAGCTCGTGTTGGCCGCCGCTGAGACTGAGGGAAGGGGTCATATAGATGGGGTGACCCTGGATGGGACATTCTGGAGGACAGCAACAAAGCCAGACAGCATTATATCTAGGCAGAACACATACCCAGGCTTTACCACAGTGGGCCTTGCCATATGGCTTCTGAGTGTCTACCTTACTTTTAGCCAGCTTGGCCATATAGTGTACTGCCATGCTTCTGTGCCCTTCATTCTTACATGTTTGGGCATCTTGAACACTGGCATGTATGCTTGCTATATGGAATCTTGTCATGCTGGGCTGTGCCTGGCAGTCACAGAGCATTGATGTTCCATCATTAAATGTTAAGGAGAGATCCACCTAAGACTCATAGGCCTGGGCCCCCGCCTGAGGCTACTGCAGCACAGATTGCTGGTCAGGCACAAATGCTTGTTTTGTGGTTTTGTTTTTGTTTTTGGAAACAGGGTTTCTCTGTGTGGCTTTGGAGCCTGTCCTGGAACTCACTCTGTAGACCAGGCTGGTCTGGAACTCATAGAGATCCACCTGCCTCTGCCTCCCCAGTGCTATGGCACCAGGCTGGTCTCAAGCTTGTAGCAATCCTCCTGCCTCTGCCCCCTCAGTGATACGATCACAAGCATGTGCTACCATGTCTGATGACATGCTTGTTTTGTGCTGTTAGGCAGCACCCCGCTTAGTTGGATGTGGTTATCAGAGACATCTCCAAGCAGAGGCATAGATGGCCACAGGAGGGAAATCTGACCTTGGCAGCTTTACTGTGTGCGCGTGCGCATACGTGCTGAGTCTCTGCCTGCTGTAACTGTCTGACAGCTGTGTGTGAGAAGGACTGGAAGAAGAGGGTGTCTGACTCCCAAATCTACACACAATACCCAGCCAAGCATTGTCCTAGCTGCACCCCAGCGCCTCTGCCAGGTCTATGGACACATGTGGCTGGGGGTTGGGAGTGGATACTACTGGAGCTCCACGCCAACTCTATGCTTTCCTTGATGAATTGTCCTAAGCAAAGCTGTTCACATTTTCTGAGCCCCAACTTCCTTGTGATGCCACCAAGCTTCCGGTAGCACGGAGTGACATGGTGTACATGAAAGTTGTGGCTGCAGGAGGCGCTCAATAAATGTCATATGATTGAAGGAGAGGATGCACCGAGTCACCCGGTCATGTGTACCCAGGCAGTGACACATGAGGGCTGAGTCACACCTGGCTTTTCTGCCCTTCCATTCACCTTCCCTCCCTACCCTCTGACCTGCTCACTGTGAAGAGTAGGGTTTCACCTTCTTTATACCCCCCCCCCCATCCCGTTGCTGGGCTGGAGAAACTGACTTTTGAGGCATGCGATCCTATTTGCCTGCGGATGAGGCAGGAGCTCTCAGTGGTGTAGACAACTGGTGCAAGAGAGAAGACCAGACCCTGAGAGGTACCGGCCGCTCTGATTGGAAAAAAAGCGCTACTGGCCCAAGCGCAGAGTGCAGCTGCCTGCTTGGATGGGGGCCTGGCAACCTCGCTGAGCAAAGCAGCCCTGGGGGGCGGGTCTGGAGCTGTTGGAAAGGCGGGGCCATTTTCCTCTGAGCCTGCGGGGGGGGGGGGGGGGAGGGACGGGATGGGGGTGGAGGGCGGGGTTTCCTTACCGTTGCCGAGACGCGGGGGTGGGGGTGAGGGGGCGGCGGCTCTGGCCAGTTCGGTGGCAGGATGGACAGAGGTACTTTAGGAGGCACCTCTCTGACCGACCCTGGGCGGGAGAGCGACGGGCAGGGTAGGCATTGGGTAGCATGGGGACGATGGGGGTTGAGAAAAGACCTGGGTGTAGGGAAGATGTTGTTGGAGGGAGCCTGAGGGTGTTGGGGGTCTCCCAGAGTGCTCTGAGATGGCATCAATCAGTGGCCTGAAGGGGAGGAAAAACTGGGGCCTTGTTGGGAAGAGGGGCCAGGACCAAGGTGGGATGACTATAAATAGTGTCTTCCTTCAGCCCAGGGGGAGGGCCAGCCAGCTGGAGCTGCCTGAGGCACTCCCCAGTACGCCCCTTGCTGGCCTCCAAGGGGTCTTGTTCACCAGGGTCACCCGGTTGGGAAGTTTTTCATATAGTGCCATCTTAGCCTTTACCCTTGTACTGTGTGCTCTGTGCTGGTCCTGAGTTTCTCTCCACACCTACTGTGGACTGTCTTTTCCATAAGCCTCTCTGCACCTTGGCTAGCTCTGAGTTACTTGCAGCACCTACTATGTGCCCTGTGCGAGACTAGACGCAGGAAGCACAGATCAAGGTTCACAGGCCACCACTCACATGGCTGGGTACCCCCAAATTGGAACCTCACAGTATGAACTCTGGGTCCAGAAGGATGCTGGGGACAGTTCTTGATAATAGCCAGAAGAAGCTGGGATTTCTGGCAACTCCCTGTACCCAGCAAAGCAGCATCTGGTCAGGGAATAAAGAGGAAGAGACTAGCAGGGTGGCAGGACTATTAATAAATGTGCTTCTGTGTGTGAGAGAGAGCAAGTTCGTGTGCATTTGTGTGGCAGGGATGAGGCCCCTGGATCTTTATGTTGTAAATGGTGGCTCTTTGGTACAGCCAGGATTAGGCAGATACTAGAGAGTGGGAAGAGTTTGAGCCCTGAGAACTGAGGGATAAGGACTTGATAAATGCCTTCTGTAACTAAGAGGAGGTCCCCATTGGTCAGGACAGAAGGTGCCCAGGGAGCCAACCAGGCTCAGGCCAGTTAGGTTCATGGTAGAGAAGGCTGAGTTAGCCGTGTTCGTACATGAGTACACAAGGGTAGCTCAACACTTCTGTGCACGGGACAGGGTACTTGGTACTCTTTGAGATACCCTGAAGAGGGAAAGGCCAGGAGGGCTAGTTAGTCTATTGAACATCTGCTGCTGTTGGGGAGCAGAAAGCTTGGAAGGCGTTCATTGGAGGGAACAAGCAAGAGCCTAGGTGTGAGAAGTGAGGCAATAAAGCAAGCTAGCTGTAGGAGGTGAAGCTGTGCCGGCTGGGAGATGAGTTGAGTCCTTGCACCGTGGGCCCGCCTCTGTTATCTTGTTTCCTCCCTATCTGCATCCTCAGTTTCTTACCTAAGAAATGAGGCCATGGGAGGAGAGATGGGGAGTAGTCGTCCGAACAGTTGCAGACCCTGGCATTGGGAAGGCTGCCTAGGCTCATGATGGTGACCTATGGCTTCCTAGCTGGATATATGGACTTGAGAGGGTGTGTCTGGGTCAGCCTGGGGTGAGCGGGGAAGAGTGGGAGGTATAGAACCACATTTCCTGAAACCAGGCTCAGACTGGGTGTGGAGATAGATGCCTTTGGCCATTTGCCCTGCCTTGCTCTGCCACAGCTCTTAAGTAACATCTAGGAGTTCTGGGGAAAAGATTGGATGTGCCTGATGAGGTACTGAGTACCCATGATGCTAGAGGTAACTCTGTAATGAGTGCGCGTGAATGGCAGTGAGGATTCTGAGGCCAAATGTAGTTCCAAGGTGAACTTGGCAGTGGCTGGGACACAAACAGGAACAGAATGAGTGGTTTTGGAGAAGTAGGTGCTGCTGATGTTCACAAGAGGAGCCCTGTTTGTTAGGAGCTATCTGTGGGTGTGCTCCAAGCTGCCCACCTCCCTCTGGCATGGAGGGAGGATGCTGCACCAGGAGAATGAGGAAAGAGGAAACTAGCCGCCTGCCTGGAGCAGGGTATTTCCCAAAGCAGCCAGCTGGAGCCGGTACTGGGGAGGCCCCCGGTGGATTTCTGAGCTTCTATTCCCTGATGTGATGGTTAAGACATCATTGTCACAGTCATCCTAAGGGGCTTTGTCAGACTCTCAGGCTGAGGTGTGACAACGGGGAATGCTGCACTGATTACAAATTACATCGGCCTTGTTTTTCACGTGTCTAGCTGGGCATGGGCGAGACAGAGAGCTTAAGGTAGGAAACGTGCTGGGATGTGGTGGAGGCTATCACCAGAGGGCAGCAAGGCAGAGACCTGAAAGAGCAAGTGTACAGTTTGGAGAGACAGAGCTGGGCAGATAGAAGAGGCCTGAGCTTTGGGGAGACTGGGGGGGGCTTCTCCACACTGCCCCTCACCAGGCTCCAAGGGGTCATGTTCATGCGGGTCACTTAGGGGAGTTTTTCATATGGTACCGCTTTAGCCTTTAAGTCTGATCAGCAAGGCCTGGCCCTTGTGCTCCCCCCCCCCCCCCGTACATTTTCAAAGGGAGGGAGATAATATGATTGAGAACGCCTACATGTTATGGGGCAGATTTCTGACACTGATACATTTAATCTGTACCACAATCTTGTAAAATTGATGATGTCTGAATCTCATTTTCCTGATGGAGAGACAGACACTTATTCAAAAATACATAAACTCATTAAAACTTTAATTGGGGCTGGGAGTGTAGCTCAGTTGGTAGAGTGTTTGCCTAGCATGCACAAAGCCTTGGGTTCGATTCCCAGCTCTGTGTAAACATTGTGCAGCAACAACAGAACTTGGGAGGTTAAAGCAGGATGATCAGAAGTTCAAAGTTATCCTGAGCTACATATTGAATTCCAGGCCAGCCAAGGCTACCTTGACTTTCCTCCCCCCAAAGAAAGAAAAAAACAACAAAATTATGATTGGTAAAATGCAAATCCTGGGAAGAGAATCAAAATACTGCCAGAGCTTAGTGAGTCCCCAAATAGCTTGGTCATATATTTGCTCCCCAGGAGCCATGCCAAATCATGCTCGATTTTGAGATATATCCTTTGTTCCTGTCCCTGAGATAAGGGGACATCTTCTGTGTGGTTGAACAAGATGTTCTTGTGGACCGGGGAAGTTCCAAGGGTAGGAGCAGCTGAGGAGGCCCCAAGAAGGTCCAGGAGGGCGCAGCGGAGGTTGACTGCCAGGACAGCAAGCCAGTCATTAGAACCACTCAGCGACAACAGGCAAACTGGTCTAGATTACCCTGGCTCTGAGGGTCACGCAGGCCCCGCCCAGCCTCATACTCTTCTCACCAGACAGCCATGAGGTCACGTTCCGCAGGGAGCGGAGGCCGCACTCGCTTTGGAGGGGGCTGTAGAACCTTAAACGGGACGTGGGCGTGGCTATGCAAATGTAATCTGCTTGAGAGCGGTAAACTTCATATCCGGGGCGGGGCCTACATAATCTGGATGTCAAACGCCTTGGGAATTGAGCATGCGCGTTCTTGGCCTTGGTTTGAAGGAAGGGGCGAGCCTAGTCCAAAACGAGGCGGTAGGAAAATCGGGCATGCGTAGTCGTAAACCAGTGCCTCTTCAGTTTGGGTGGAGCCTAATGGTCCTGGGGCGGGCCCGCTGGAAGATGGACAAGAGTTGAAGCCGCTAGAGGAGGGGCGGGGCCCGAGGGGCGGGACCTCGGGTGGCCCCAGGTGGCCAGGTTGCTGGGTGCGTAGCCGCACAGTCCGATTCATCCCGGCCAGGGGATGGCGTCCCCACGGGAATTGACCCAGAATCCCCTGAAGAAGATCTGGATGCCATACAGCAATGGGCGGCCCGCTCTGCACGCCAGCCAGCGTGGTGGTAAAGACGGGGTCCTCAGGGAGAGGAGGAGGGAGATGAACCCGATGGGTGGGTAGACGGCCTTGGGTGAGGATCTCCAGTGGGAAAGCAAGAGGCAGAGAAACAGGCAAGGTGAGGGCATTGTGACTGATGGGCGGAGTTGCGGGCAGGTGAGAAGCTGGGAACAGGTGAGGTGGTGGTGAAGGTGGCCGGTGGCTGCAGAAGCTAAGCGAGGTGGAGACAGGTGTGAGGGAACATCTCAGCCTGTTGGGACTGACTGGGTCTGGGTACCATTACCTTAGGAGGGTACTGACCCAAGCTGTTCCCAGTGCCTGGATTTAGGGGGGTCTTCGTGGTCATGGTACTGTTGGTTCCTCTCTCTTGGCCCCAGAGTGGGGCTGCCGGGTAGTCTGGCTGGAAACTTAGCTGTGTAGCTCTAGACAAGGCACTAGGCATCTCTGAGCTGATAGCTTTTGAAAATCTAACCATGGCTAGTAGTCCTCAGCAAGATGAGCACTTCATGGCTTTAAACCCAAAGTTTTGGGAGGAACTTCAAGGGAGTTCAATTGTCAGGGTTGGGTCAATGGGAACAGCACACTGTGTGGACCTAGCTCTGTGCCCCTGGACATGGAAGCACCCACATGAGTTCATAGGTAAATGTCTGCACAGGAGGGTGGAACATGAAGATCTGCTGAAATTTGTGAATTACTGAGTGACTCACCTTTTCTGGGATCCTGGGTGTTTTCATCTTCCTTGGTTCTTCTGTTTGTTCTTACATGAGTCTGTAATTTTTTTATTAACAGGAAAAAAGAAAAAATTGTTTCAGGAGTAATTCAAATATTGTAATGAATTTGTAGCTTGGCAAGACCTCAGAGAACATCTAGTCCAACTGGTGTCGCAGATATGGAAATGGAGATGAGGCTGTTGTGTGATTGTGCCAGGGTCTCCTTGCATTCCTGAAGGCTGCTGTGTGTGATAAGGGAGGGGAGGGTCCTTTGGCCTTCTGTTGCCAAGGTCAGTTTGAGGCCATGACTTTGACCTTTACCATAATGAGAGTCCTGGGAGAGTGGGGGCAGGAAGGCATATGTGATCACGCTTGGGTCCTGGTGGGATGGCCGTGGTTCATAAGCAGACTGTGTTCCTGTGGGTGGTGGCTCTGACCACAGTATGGGTACTGGCGGAACCATAGCTGTCCAGACACATTCTGAGTCTCCAGGGACTGTGTGTGAGTGTGGGTGTGGGGGGTGGTGGCTGTACCTGTTACAGGATGAGTAGAAAACTGGACTTTGGAGCCAGGAGCACTCAAGCCACATCCTAGACCGGCTTGTGATCTTGGGAAAGGAGCTAACCCCTAGACCCCAACCCTAGAATGAGACCATTAACATCTTTGCTGCTAATGAGCAGATATTTGAAAAGTGTCAGAGTGTTGTAGACCATGCTTTTCTGGAGTGGGACATGGCATGGCCAAGGATGAAGCTGGCAGACGTGTGCCTGGGGATGGCAGTCTGGGCTCCAGCCAGAGGTCACAGAAGTCACAGAGGTCACAGCACATCTGTCCACTTTGCACTTGTGCAGCATTCTACTCTGCACAGTGAGCTCCAGCCAGGTTGCAGGACTTAAGGACGGTAAAAACCTCAGGGTAGGGAAGGTTAGCCTGACCACAGGGCTTTATGGGAAGGGAGAAGCAGTGCCTACTGCTCGTCTGGGCTGGCTGTAGGTTTCCTCTAGCGCTAGTCCTCTGCCCATGTTCTCCACCCCCAAACACCATAAACAGTTGGTAAAATTTGGTGATTTATAAATTTCAGAGCCACATCTATGTGTCTGGGAACTATAAACCTGCCTTACCATCATGATCCTAGCTTAGAACTTTAAGAGCCCAGGGAAGATGGGACAGGGGATAAAGAGGGGTCCCAGACCATGGCAGGCAGGATGTTGTTTTTCCTTTGTTTGCTTGTTTGACCCTTGTGATCCTCTGTATGTTGGAACTCAAACCCTGGTCCTCTGCAAGAGCAAGTGCTTTTTGTTGTTTTGTTTTGAGACAGGGTTTCTCTGTGTAGCTCTGGCTGTCCTGAAACTCACTGTCTAGACCAGGCTGGCCTTGAACTCACAGAGATCCTCCTGACTCTGGCTACTGAGTGCTGGGATTAAAGGCATGTACCACTGTGTCCGATTTCTGATGCCTTTTTTTCAGCCAAAAGATGACAAGATGGCATGATTCCTTCTGTGTGATAGGACTTGAGTGTGTGTGCACAGGCAACAGCAGAGACAATCAATGTCTGTCTTCTGAGTGAAACTGTCATACCATGTTGCTTAATTTTTAAGAACTTGTCCTTCCTCAGTCTGGCCAAAATGGTGGGAGCAGGTACAGTCAATTCAGGAGTCTACCTAGAATCCACTCCGGGAATTTTGGCTGTGCCTTTGGTGGAAGTGCCTGGAAGTAGGTAGGCCAGCAGGTTTTTTTTCCATTGCTCCACATCTCAGGCCTTGGGGCTCCTAGGGTTCTGTGGCCTTCAGTAAATATATGGAAAAAGAGAACCAGAAAGGGCTGAGTTGATATGTCTTCAGACTTCTTTCTGTGTGTATGGAAACAAATTGTTCTGCTGTCCTGGCTGCTAGATGCCCTTGTGGGCTCAGGCCTGGGGTTCTGACTGCATACCCCATCTCTGCTCTGTGGCTCTCGGGGTGTGTAGTATACCCCTCTTTGTTCTGCTCTTGTCTATAATTTCTCCAGTCTAGGGATTATCTCCACATCATGCTGTTGTAAGCAAAGCTTTCTCTAAGGTTCTTGAACTTTGGTTTGCTTTGAGTTATTTCTTCAGAGCTTATCTTGAGGAGCAGAGTTGATCACTAATTTATTGCCTTGTTTCGTGCCCAGATCCAATCTTCTCCCCTGACTGCCCACCTTTATATCAATGGGAGTGGGGAAGAGGGAGCTGTCATCAGAGACTGTGGGAGGAGGCTGTGGCTACGAGAGGGGCCCAGGTCTGCTCTGGGAAAATAGATGTTGTACTGTCTAGTTGCATGTCAACTTGACACAAGCTAGAGTCATCTGAGAGGAGGGAACCTCAATTGAGAAAATGTCTCCAGAAGATCTGGCTGCAGGCAAGCCTGTAGGACATTTCTTAATTAGCTATTGATGGGGAGGGTCCTATCCATTATGGGTGGTGCCACCCCTGGGCTGGTGGTTCTGGGTTCTATAAGAAAGCAGACTGAGTAAGCTATATAACATCCAAGACAATAAGTAGCACCCTTCCATGGCTCCTGCTTCCAGGTTCCTGCCGTATTTGATGAACAGTGATGTGGAAGTATGAGCCAAATACACCCTTTCTTCCCCCAAGTTGCTTTTAGTCATAGTGTTTCATTACAGGGATAGTCACTCTGAAGAGTAGGCACAGTACCTGGATCTTGAAATCACGAGCCCTGAGTGTGTGTGTAGGGGCTCATCAGGAGGGGCAAGGATGGGCAGATGGTTGCCATGGTAAATAACTGATATACTTAACTCTCTTTAAATTGCTTCAGAGCTCCTGGTCAGCCTGGGCAGGAATTGTGCAAACAACAGACTTGAACAGTCTTCTGGCCCTGAGGAGGCCGGGCCTTGCTTAACTCAGTTTCCTCCCGCCTTAGCCAATACTGAGGTTATTCTGCAAGTGTCTTCCTTCTTCCTCCAGCTCAGGTTCCCTTCTCCTCTCCCCTGGGGTTCACAGTTTGGGTCACACACAAGAATGATGCTGCCTACATCCCAAGTCCTAAGTGCAGTCTGGGCTGAAGTACACCTGTGTCTGTAGTCCAGGGTGCTTCCAGGGCAAGGCAAAGGGCACAGCTTCCCAGAAGTAATCCAGCTCTTCCATGGGGAAAGTGCTAGATCATGCTGGTGAGGTTACCAAGACTCTGAGTTGCCAGAAGGTGTCACAAGCAGAATAGGAACCGAGACTTACTTGCCTTACTGCTGACAGGCAGAGCTGTCCCTAGGTCTCTGTGTCCTAAGAGAGACAGCTGAGCGGGGTTCCTGATGGTCTGGCAAAGGAGGACCACTCAGTGGACAGAGGAGAGCAGGGACAGCTCCCCACATCCGTTCCGCAGTCTGTTCCCATGGTTTTACTGGCCCTGATCTTATAGGTGATAAAAAGGAAGGCTCCTGTAGGGTGGACCACATCTGGCCACAGTGGAAGCTGAGCTGAGTCACAGGCAGTCCTGTTGCTTTGGTGTGAGGCCTGGGCAGCTGATGCTCGGGGAAGCTGTGGACAGGTCTTTCCCAACCTCCAGCTTTGGCAGACTCTCTGGTTGACACCCTGATCTGGTAGCATGTGAGATGGCGATGAGCATCTCAAGAGCATTGTCACTGTCAGGCCTCTGCTCTCAGTGCCTTGTGCTTCTCGTTGCCTCCCTGCTCATATTACTGAGCATGAGTGCAGTGCCAGGGCAGGACATGAGTGGCACGGGCACCACAGGGACACTGGGCTGGAATTCCTTCCCTGGGGAGATATAAACAAGTTCTACCTCTCCTTCCAATGTCCCAGTGACAAACCAAGGCTCAATTCCGTAGTTGAGTGTGAAGAGCCAGTGAGTTTATTGGACCTCCTTACAGACCATAGGTGAGGGTTACTTATATGGGTGTGGGTGCATACAACAGGTGGTAGGAAGCAGCTGGATTCTCAGGTGAGGGTCTCAAGACCCTACTCACCCCTCCGTGGGGGGTGGGGATATAAACAGTTAACAAACCTAGCCAGGAGAACACTTTTACAAAGGGGTGCAGTTCGTGGCTGCTTGGCTTGGAGGACAGTCACACATGCTGGCTACTCCAAATAATCAGTCCAGAGATAACGGTCATTAGTGAGGTGACCAAGCTGGTGGGGGAAGAATGGCCCAGGTACACATGGAGGTGCCCCTGGGAAAGGAGGTCCTTGTTGAAGTGAGATCTTTCAGGCAGAACTCTGAGGAGAAAAAGAAATCTAAGAGAGACCACAGTGGAGCTGGCACATCAGATGGGGATACGTAGAGATTGGGGTATGGGTCCCCGGACAAGAGAGGCAGAGCTGTCCTCTGAGCAGTAGGCAGCTCCTGGAGGGTGCAGCTGCTGGCCTGGCTGGTTGTGCCTCATATATATCTGTGTGCTTTGCAATGAGAAGGGCTGGTGAGGTGCCAGCATCCAGACAGATCCGGGCACAAGACACAGGGCAGCCTCAGATTGGATCCTGGGGTACAGGTGTCAATCCTGTGTCTGATAAAACGCCGGAAGGGGGAGACTCCGAGCTCCAGCAGTGTGCTTGAATTAGTCTGTCTCCTTGTTGCTGTGACGCCTCGGGAAGGAAATTGTTTTTCTGGATCACAGTTCAAGGGGGCAGCTCATCATGGCAAGGAAGCTGTGGTGGCAGGAGCCTCAGGTAGCTGCTGACCTGCATCCTTGGTGCGGAAGCAGAGAGATGGTTGGATGTGATGCTGTGCTTGCTTGCCCAGCGAATGGTGCTGCCCATATTTAAGATGGTCTTCCTACCCCGGTTAACCTATTGGGAACACTCTCCTAGGCAGAGATTTGTTTCCATGGTGATTGTAAATCCCATCAAGGTGAGAATCCATATTAACCAGCCTGGTGCTGGTTGCCTTTCAGTTTGCATGACCAACTGCCCGACACTCATCGTCATGGTGGGCCTGCCAGCCAGGGGCAAGACTTACATTTCTAAGAAGCTCACCCGGTATCTCAACTGGATTGGTGTGCCTACTCGGGGTGAGGCTTCAAGGGGATCATGGGAGGACTAATAATGGGGAGGGGGGAGAATGCTGAGTGGTGGCAGGGCTGGGGGAGGGGTTGCTGTCTGGTGAAAGCTAAGCCTCGTCTTCCCCTAGAATTCAACGTTGGCCAGTATCGCCGGGACATGGTCAAGACATACAAATCTTTTGAGTTTTTCCTCCCAGACAATGAAGAAGGCTTGAAAATCAGGAAGTAAGTGTGGCAAGGGTGTGGTGGGGCATTGCTGTCGAGAAGGCTTGATAAGTTACTACCCATTTGCTAAGAAACATCCCTTCTCCCAACCTCCCAACCTCCAGCAGCTCAGCTTGGTGCTGAGTGACTGACAGGGCTGGCTCCGTGCTGAGTGACTGACAGGGCTGGCTCCATGCTGAGTGACTGACAGGGCTGGCTCCATGCTGAGTGACTGACAGGGCTGGCTCCATGCTGAGTGACTGACAGGGCTGGTTCCATGCTGAGTGACTGACAGGGCTGGCTCCATGCTGAGTGACTGACAGGGCTGGTTTGGTGCTGAGTGACTGACAGGGCTGGCTCCATGCTGAGTGACTGACAGGGCTGGCTCCATGCTGAGTGACTGACAGGGCTGGCTCCATGCTGAGTGACTGACAGGGCTGGTTCCATGCTGAGTGACTGACAGGGCTGGCTCCATGCTGAGTGACTGACAGGGCTGGTTTGGTGCTGAGTGACTGACAGGGCTGGCTCCATGCTGTGTGACTGACAGGGCTGGCTCCATGCTGTGTGACTGACAGGGCTGGTTTGGTGCTGAGTGACTGACAGGGCTGGTTTGGTGCTGAGTGACTGACAGGGCTGGCATCTTTGTTTTTTCTTTTTCTGTAGTTTTGTTTTGTTTTGTTTTTTTTTTTTTTTTTTTTTTTTTTTTTTTTGAGATAGTATCTCACTGTATTGCCCTGGCTGTCCCTGAGCTTACAGAGATCAGCTTGCCTCTGTCTCTAGAGTTCTGGAATTAAAGGCATGTGCTCTTTGTCTGGCTTCTTAGCCTCTCAGGTTGTGAAAGGGTTGGCATATGATGTTTAGGGAGAAGTTGTGTGTAGCCACCTAGTGGCTATTTCGTCCCTCTCTAGTATTAAGGGCCTTTGGTAAGGCAGCTCTGTGAGAAGGGAGGACGAAGCTTCAGGGGGAAGGGAGGCTTGGCCAGCGCAGACCAGTGGCCATTGTATGGCTTGGAGGTCCTGCTTTTGTTTACTCCAGGCTACTGTAGAGGATGCATGTTATTTCCTCTTCTGCCCCAGGATAGACACTCTCATGAGTATTGGAATATGTTTGCTATATGCTTGGCATGTACATTGGTTTTAGTTTAACATGGCTTGGATGCTGTGGAGTAAGGAGTTGACACTCACGAGATAGAAATTGTCATATGATCTCTGTTCCCCTCACACTTCAGACTTGAACTTTTTGAGAAGGGGTTGGTGGGATGGGTCAGAAGCCCTGTCCTGTCAGGCCTGGTGGTGCACGCCTTTAATCTCATCGATCGGGAGGCAGATACAAACAGGTCCTTCTAGCTGTAGGACAGCGTGGTCTGTACCGTGAGTCCTAGGATAGCCAGGGCTACATGTGAGACCCTATCTCAAATGACAATAACAACAACAACACAACTAAACCTTATCCTGAATTCACTTCTGTTGTTCTGATAAAACACCAGAAAAAAACAAAAAGCTTAGGGGAAATGTTTGTTTGGTGTGTTGGACCAGGTTATAGGCCACTGAGAGAAGTCAGGGCGGGAGCCTGAAGCAGCTAGTCACATCTACAGTGCATAGCAGAAGAAAATAAGTGTGTGCATGCCTTCCTGCCCTCTCATGTACAGTTCAGGGACCAGGCCATGAAAGTGTGTCACCCATATGTTCAAGGTGGGTCTTCCCACTTCAGTTAAACTAATTAAAAAAAAAAAATCCAGAGGCTGAAGAGATAGCTTACTGGTTAAGAGCACTTGTATGCTCTTCCGGAGGACCCAGGTTCGATTCTCGGCACTCACCTGGCAGCTCACAATTGTCTGTGACTCTAGTTCCAGGGGACCTGGCACCCTCAGACAAATATAAACACAGGCAAAACACCAATGCATATAAAAATAAATAAGTTTTTAAAAAACAAAATTCCCGACACACATGCCCACAGGCCCACCTGACCTGGGTTGTCTGTCCTTGAGCCTCTTTCCAGGTGATTCTAAAGACGTGTCTAGATGCCACTGGGCTAATCTGCAGTCACACCAGGGACACTAGGCTACCTCTTCCCATGATGGCCACAAGGGGGCAGGAGCACCCCACCTTGTACTTGAACTTGCTTCCTTTGTTCTTGTGTCATAGGGTTGGGAGCAGGCTGAGGCACCCAGAAAGGGAGTATGACATTTAGGTGAAACTAGAAGCTAGGGGATGTACTGACACTCAGATCTACTGTGTGCTTGGTGTCTGATTCCATTGTCCCCATTTTGTAGGTAAGGAAACCGAGGCTCAGAGTCCAGGAGTCTCATACATTTCTGTGTAGGTTACTTCACATTTGAAGTAGCTGAGTAATTTTGAACCTAAGTATTTACCACTAAAAACGGCCGTCACAACTGAGTTTGGTAGTTCACACTCCAGTCCCCGCACTTGGGAGGTGATGGCAAGAGGATCAGGAGTTCAGGACCTCCATCCATTACATAGTGTAAAGCCAGCCTGGGTAACATGAGTCCATGCTCAAAAGACCAAAAACCAGTCAATTAAACAAACAAAAGTGTCCATCATTCACTCACTCAAGTATCTTGTGGCTAGTAGGTCAAAGAATGTCTCAAGTGCAAAATCAGTGCCCACGTGTGGGCCCTAGTAGATGCCTTTGTCTAGTCAGTGATGCCTTGCCTTCCCGGGTACGGGGTCTGAGCTTAGAAAGTGATATGATTGGTTGGTGTTCCAAATCTGCCAGCCATTTCACTCAGGCTACCCCAAAAAGGTCAGAATCTGGGGACTAATTCAAATGTAGAAACCCAGACTCGGAAAGGTTGGAGGAACTAGCCAAAGTTCACCCTGCTGGACCTGTGGTAGAAGATGGGATATTCCTGTTGTTTTTATTTTACACCTAAAGCCTGGATCTAGCCGCTTGGCCAGGACCTTTTTCCATTGACCATCCCAGATTTTCTTTTAAGTAATTGGAACAATAAAAGAAGGAGCAGAAGTAGTGTCTATTTTGTGCAGTTTTGTTGCTTTTGTTTGTTATTATTATTGTGTGCGGTACTTGGATTGAACCAGAGCCTTGTTCATGATAAACTGGGTTGCACCCCCATCCCAGGAGCAGAAGGGATTTTTGTTTGTCTGTTTTGTTTTGAGATAAAGGGCATGATATAGCTCAGGCTGGCCAGGAACTTGTTACATAGTTAAGAATGACTTGGACTTCTGATCCCACCTTCCAAGTGCTGGGATTACAGGCATTTGCCACTACATGTGGTGAGACCAGAGTCTTAAAAAATGAGAATCCTAGGAAGAAAGGGTTGCCGTTCCCAGAGGCCTAGCTCCACACACGCATTGTTGAGGTCTCAAGAGCTATGCAGACAAGAGGGAGGTGTGAGCAAATATGTGACAGTCAGGTATGCATATGTAGAGGCACACGGACACATCCTATCAGGCACATTCATACTGTGTTCTCTTACCATACATGAGCTCTCTATGTATACCATGGACACATAACCTCACATAAATACCTTATATGCACATACCATAAGTACATATGGGTGTGTTCACACACATACACAACCCCTGGACACATATAGTCGGTGAAAGTATGTGTGCACATGTGGGCATCTTCACTTGGACTCATTCTTACATGTGCATTCTCAGTCACACACGCGCGTGCATGCACACACACACACCCACACACACACTAACCCTGTGTATGTATCTATACACCAAGTGCGCTTGGGTCCCTAAGGCTCCCTTTAGGTTTGGTGATTGTGATTTGCAAGGATGACTCCCAGGACTCATGACTAAAGTTTATTACAAGAGACTGATAGGAAGCAAGGAAGTTCCGAGGAAAGTAGGAACCAACATCTGAGCTATCTGTTTTGAGTCCCATAGGATGCCCTCAGTTCCTCTAGCATGTGTCCAGGGGACTTACATGCCTATATATGGGTACAGTACACTCATAGAAACATGTAAGCACAAGTATATTTGCACATTCGCATATGAGTGTGCATACAGGCTCCCAGGATGTTCTCCTCCTGTTTCCTTTGGGGTCCCGAGATTCCTCCTACACAGTAAATCTGTAGTCAGAAGCCCCCATTAAAGATCTTAACCCCGAACATGCTGATCTACCTGCAGGCAGTAAGAAATGACCCAACAATGCTAGTTTTCTATGCTCAGCATTCAGAGTTTTTGGCAAAAGAAAAACACTTAAACAAACAAACAAAAACAAGCAAACAAAAAACCTTTTGCCAGGCGGTGGTGGAGCACACCTTTAATCCCAGCACTCAGCAAGCAGAAGCAGGCAGATCTCTGTGAGTTTGAGGCCAGCCTGCTCTACAGAGTGGGTTCAGACAGGCTCCAAAGCTACAGCGAAACCCTGTCTGTAAAACCAAAATAAGTGAATAAATACAGAAATATTTTTAAATACTTTAAACAACATTTGTTTTATATTAATGAGTGTTTTGATCCCATGCACCCTACATGCATGCCTGATGTCTTCTGAGGCAAAAGAAGGTGTTGGATCCCTGGAACTGGAGTTGTGAACGGTTGTGAGCTGCCATGTCTGTGGAATTGAACCTAGGTCCTCTGAAAGAGCAAGTGTCTTAACCACTGAGCCATCTCTTCATTATTATTATAATAAACCATTATTATTATCGGTTTGTGTGTTGGGAGGGGGTGGAGACAAACTTTCGCCATGCTCAATTTAGTAGTGCCTGACTTTAATCCCAGCACTCAGGAGACAGAGGCAGGCAGATCTCTCTCTTGTGAGTTCAACGCTAGCTTGGTCTGATATAGCAAGTTCTAGTTCACCCTGTCTCAAACAAAACAAAGTAAAAGTAGCTTTGTCTCTCCAGACCTCTGGGAGAAATGACAGAGTGGGAATGGTCACTGCAGTTGCTGGCTCATTTCATAGCAAATGTGACCCCTCAGTGTAGTGTTGTCTATAGGAGGTGCTCTGCGGAATTCTCTCCTCCAGGGTAGAATGTTGCCTTTGTGTCCTTCCTTGCTGCCCCCAGCCTGAAGTACACAGAGATTGATTGAAAAGCACTTACCTTGGGGCTGGAGAAAAGGCTCTGTGGTTAACAGCACTTGCTGTAGTAGTAGAGAGCCTGAGTTCGATTCCCAGCATCCACAAAGTGGCTCACAGCCATCTCTAGCTCCAGTTCTAGGCTATCCAACACCCTCTTCTGACCTCTGAAGGCACCAGGCACACTCATGGTGTACACCATGCAGGCAAAACACTCATATACACAAAATTAAATAAACCAAAAGTTAATGAAAGAAAAGCGCTTATCTTGATAATCACAGAATGTGCCAACATTTAGGAGTCATGAGCATGGCAAAATGGCAGCTGTGCCATGATGAGGAGATGAGGGAAAATGCAGAAAATAGCATTCAGAAGACCTGATACCCAGGGGCACGCAGTCTTGGAGCCTATGAGAGCCAGACGCTGACCTTTAGCCGAAAACAAGAGGGAAACCTTGAAATGGGAGGAGATGGGGGAGGGGGTGTGTGAAGGTGGGCTGGCCCGTCCTGTCTGTGGTCGGGCTAAAGGCTGATGCTAGGCTGACTCTGTCTTCTTTCCTGAAGGCAGTGTGCCCTGACAGCCCTCTGTGACGTCCGGAAGTTCCTCAGTGAGGAGGGGGGACACGTGGCGGTGAGTATGACACCCTAGAAACAGCCGGGAGTGAGACATAGGATCCCTCCCCACCACCCCGTCTACTGCCTGCTCACCAGGCACCTGGAAGGAAGCAGGGTGGGGTGGGTGTGCCCCTGAATGCCCGAGGGTGCCAGCCAGAGGCATTCGCAGAAGCTATGCAGGAGGAAGTGTGTGGGTCAGATGTTCCCCGGGTGTGTATTTACATTAAACTCTACAGTTCTTCCTTCTGTAAGTTAGGACGGGCGGCATGCCTCAGTCTTTGACACATATGACTGGTCTCCTGGCACGGGGAGCCCTGGTGAGGGAACCCTCCTAGAGCGGTGACCCCTGCAGTCATATGAAGCGTGACTAGCAGAGCTGGGACTGGGTGAGGAAGGGCCAGTCCTGCACACCCAACCACAGGAGCTGTCTCCTCCTTAGCACTTTCCTCTTGGAGTCCCGCCTCCCGGAGGGCTCTGACCCCGGGGTCCAGCCTGCGGGTCCAGCCTGCGTTCATAGCTCTGGTACTGCCGTCACTCCGTGGGCTCCTCTCTCCTTTCTCCTGGGACAGTTCTGGTCCTGTAATCCTGGTTCCCCCCACTTTGCTTTGCTGACCTGTTTTATCGAAGTGAACCCCATAGGTATGTTACTGATAAAGTGGCTGGAGATGCAGCTCAGTAAGTAGAGCGCTGGCCTAGCAGACGTGAAACCTAGGATTTGACCTCCAACGCAGAATAAGCTGAGTGATGTGGTGTGAGCCTGTAGTTCAAGACTATGGCGGTAGAGATAGGAGGATCAGAACACCCGTGGCTCTCTAGGGAGTTGTAAGTCAGCCTGGGATGCTTGAGACCCCACTTCTAAACAACAGAAAAAGTGCTTAGGAAATACTTGGGTTGAGGCCTTGCCTGGCAGAAGAAGTGTCCTTTTTTTTTTTTTTTTTGTTTGTTTGGTTTTTTTGTTTTTTCAAAACAGGGTCTCATGATATAGCTTTAGTTGTCCTGGAACTCTATGTAAACCAGGCTGGCCTCTGACACACAGAGATCTGCCTGCCTCTGCCTCCTGAGTGCTAGGATTAAAGGTGTGAGCCCCATGGAGCTTCAAAAATTATTTCTTAATAAACCACCTCTACCGCTTTCTGGCAACTCAGCCTCTCTGTGCTTTCCATTTTCTTAGCTGCCTTTTCTAGAATTCTTAGTGGTACCAATTATCTATTTATTTATTTTCAGACAGGTTTTCTCTGTGTAGCCCTATAGCCCTGGAACTCACTCTGTAGACCAGGCTGACCCCAAACTCAGACATCCGCCTGCCCCTGCCTCCTAAGGTGCTGGCCACCACGCCTTTAATGTGGCTCCAATTTTCTTCCTTTTAAGATTTATTTTATGTATATGAGTGTTCTGCATGTACACCTGCAGGCCAGAAGAGGGCACCAGATCTCATTACAGATGGCTGTGAGCCATCATGTGGTACTGGGAATTGAACTCAGGACCTCTAGATGATCAGCCAGTATTCTTAACCACTGAGCCATCTCTCCAGCCCCTGTAGCTCCTTTAAAAAATCTTTTTTTTTTTTTTTTTTTTTTTTTTTTTAAGGGAAACATTCCAAATATTTTTTAAATTTAGTTTTTAAACTTTTCTTTTTCTATGCGCAAGTGTGGGAGTGTGCCACAGTGCAAGTACAGGGGTCAGAGAGTAACTCGCAGGAGCTGGCTTTCCTTTTACCATGTCAGTTTCAGATCACCTGGCTTGGTCTCACACACACACACACACACACACACACACACGCACACACATGCACTCATGCACATGCACACACGTATTCACTCTCTAAATGTAATAACAATAAAAGAAAAAGGAAAAGAAAAAAGAGATTTGTGGCTAGGCCTGGTGGCACACACTGATAACCCAGCACTTGAGAAGCATAGGGAGAATTGCTGAGGCCAGTCTGTCTCACACATGAGTTCAGAGCCAGCCTGACTACGTGGTGAGACCCTGTCCCAGCCCCTCACAAGATAGCTTTAGCTCACAATGTCGAGGCTGAACATTCCAGATTGGGCGTCCTTACCCCCACCCCACCCCACCCCACCCCAACCCCCGTTAAGTATTTAATATCATCTCGGTAAGAGCCATTGAGGGAGGAAAAGATCACATCTGGAGAGAGGAAACCACAGAGCTGGGTAGACCAGATTTATATCTATCTCTCTTGGGAGAGCTTGAACATGAAGCTTAGGAGAAAACCACATCTAAACCATGGTACTAGGCTTAACTGGTTCTGCTAGAATGTGGCTGGTCACACATGACCTGAGCACCTGCTGTGTTCAGAGCACTGCTGTGAGCATTCCTCTGTGTGAGTCTGCCTAAGGCAGGCCAGGCTGGTGGCCTGGGCAGCAGGTACCCTGGCAAGAAGCCCAGTCCCCAGGGATGCCTGTACTGTAGCCTTGGGTAGCCTTTGCTTCCCCAGGCCAGAGCCCTGAGCTCACCCTCTTTGGTCCTAGGTTTTCGATGCAACCAATACCACTCGAGAACGAAGAGCAATGGTCTTTAACTTTGGGGAACAGAATGGCTACAAGGTGAGGAATCCTGGGTTGCTGTACATCTGGGCCCTCAGAGGCCCCTTTCACAGCCTCCTGGGGCTGGGCATTAGGGTCGCCAAGTGTGATTTGAGATGGAGGTGTAGTCTCCTCTGGGCACTTGCTTTCCAAGGCTGTAGTAGGAGAGCCCAGGGTGCAGTGCTATGTCCCTTAGAGGATGGGCGGGCCTGGTCAGGATGGCCATGGGTGGAAGGGAGAGCCTGGGAAGGAAGTGTGGATCGCTAACCATGTTTGTGGTTCTGCCCTCCTCCCCTGGTGCTCTGCCCTTGCTGTAGACTTTCTTTGTTGAATCTATCTGTGTGGACCCTGAGGTCATAGCTGCCAACATCGTGGTGAGTGGTGCGTCTGACGTCCTTGGGATGGTAATGAGACAGGTCCCTGTGATGTGACACTAATGGTGAGGTCCCTCTGCAGGTTTGGGTTTGGCGCTTGGGGTGACCTTTCATTGATGTTGAATTCTGTGAGAGTGGGGAGGCAGATGAGCCTGGAGTCCTGAGGACCAGTTGTGAGGAGGGTTGTGTGCCTCCTGGCCTTCATTCTTGCTCCTTGTACATCCCTTCTCTCTCCCTTCTCTCCTAATCCCTGGGCAGCAGGGGAGGAGCTTCAGCCAGGGGTGGGCTGGGTGTTTCTATTTAAGACTCAGACTGGAGTCTCACTCTTATTCTATACTCCTTGGTTATCTAAAGAATAGCCATGTCAGCCTGGCCAGGTGGCACACGCCTTTAATCCCAGCACTTGGGAGGCAGAGGCAGGTGAATCTCTGAGTTTGAGGCCAGTCTGGTCTACAGAGGGAGTCCCAGGTCAGTCAGTGCTACACAGAGAAACCCTGTCTTGGGAAAAGAGAAAGGGAAAAAAGATGGCCACCTCAGTTTAAAAGATAATTCAGGGGAGAGAGAGAGAGAGAACCTTAGGTTTCCCACTGGGTCCCAGGGTAAAAGGCTAACTCAGACCTGGGAGCCCTCAGAACCATTCCTGATGGGAGCAGGCCCCGGCTTGGCTTCGGCCTCCGACCCCCCAGCCCTGACCTAACCTGGCCCCACCTCCCTGATCCCTGCCTAGCTGTGTCCTTGCTTTCTGGCTCTGTCTGGACTCCAGCCCTGATGTGTCCTTGTCTGTTCCTGGCTCTGGCAGCAAGTGAAGCTGGGCAGTCCTGACTATGTTAACCGGGACAGTGACGAGGCCACTGAGGACTTCATGAGGCGCATCGAGTGCTATGAGAACTCGTATGAGACGCTGGATGAAGACCTGGACAGGTGTGTGAGGAAGCAGGCAGCCTGTGGCCGCAGTGGGTGGGTGTCCGGGTCCGCGGCCCCCTCATTGTGAGCCCTGTTGTGGTGTCTGGGGAAGCACACCAAAGGGCAGAGGTGATCTGATCTCTTTTGTTTCTTTCCTTGGGGCAGAAATCGTTGGTCAGGGGTGACTTTAAGAACACCTGTTGTCTCATCTGGAGCTCTACAAGCCAGGACTTTCTCCTGTCCCACCATAAAATCAAGCCTAATTTCTATGCAGAGGGTCTTTAAAACGCATTTGCAGACACTTCATGGGCCTCTTCGACTGTGCAGTTGGGGAGGGAGATGGGGGCCAGCCAGATCTTGCCTGTGAACACAGTCAGTGGCCAGTGCTTGTCAGGTCCATCTGCCTCCCTCTGGGATAGACGAGCAAGCAGGCGTGCTGAGTGGCCAGGGGCCTTTAGTCCATTGTGCGTGCCCTGCTGAGTAGTTTCTTTAGGCTTTGCAGGGTTCACAGTCCCTGCTGCAGGGAGCTGACTGTGCCACTGTCCTGCAAAAGAAACTGTAAATAAACGGCCATGGGTGTGTTCTACTAAAAACTTCATAGAAAACAGCTTGTCGGCAGCAATTGAGTTGTTGGCAGTAGTTTGCCAGCACCCGAGTCTTGGCATAAGTGTAACCAGCAATGGTTAAATAAATAGCAGTGAGACCTTGGTGAAATCTTACACTTGCCATAAATCATAATTATGGAAAGATGTGGGAGTGTAGGTTGCACAGCATTAACTGGAAGGCTGGGATGTAAATATGTGTTTGGGTGTTTATAATTACATAAGACTATGTAATGCATACAAACCAAGGAACACAAGCAACAGCAAGAGGGATGGCTTCTGAGGGTTTGTAGAACGGTGCCTGTGGCAGCCATGGTGACACATCTTTCTTCCCTCTGCTGGGCTCTGCAGCCAGGCTGGAGCTGAATGACACGTGGGCCTCTCCGTGTGTGGCTTTGTTGTCCCCCTGGTCTCCCCAGCATGGCTTCTTGTCATTCTGTTGTGCCACTGGAACAGCCTCAGGTAGCTCTGTCTGTACGTGTTGCTCCTGGCTTTGTTGATAATACCGAGGCGACAAGCATGCATGGGGATGTGTGATCTTTCTAGTGAGAAGTCAAATGAGAATGCCCAGGGGACTGTTGACTGAGTCACAGCTCACCCCACCACTGCCAACATAGGTGCGATCTCCAAGAAGCATCACACACATGCACCGTGGGGAAGGTGGACAAATGGGTTTGTCTGATGCTGTCGCCAGCACTGTCCTGTGCTCGTCAGCCACTGGTTACCTGATGAGGAGAGCGGCAGCTCCCTGGCACACAGATGGCCTTGACTGTGTTCTGGGCGAGGGTCTCACTGGAGAAGGAAAGCCAACCAGGAACTTAGGGGAGTGGAGTGTTTGCCAGCTACCAGGTCAACCCTGGGAAAAGCTGTCTCAGTTCACCTTACAGAACTCAGAGGGAGGCAAGAAGGGGTCTGGGAACACACAGGCAGCTGCGGTACAAGTCGGGACATGGTTGGACTGAGCACTTCTCCAGATGTCACCTTTGAAGTGTGATGAGTGCTTGTCTGTGTGTCACTGTGTGTGTCACTTGCACACCGGCTCACAGAACTGTGTTCGTGATCAAATCCAGTGTTAGAGCTGCAGGCTTTACAGCCAGTCCCTATGGCTTCTGACGTGCTCCCAAGGGCCCGGCCACCCTCACAGTCTCTACCTTCTCTCTGGCAAGGGATCTGTCCTACATCAAGATCATGGATGTGGGCCAGAGCTATGTGGTGAACCGTGTAGCTGACCACATCCAGAGTCGCATCGTTTATTACCTCATGAACATCCACGTGACACCCCGCTCCATCTACCTCTGCCGGCATGGGGAGAGTGAACTCAACCTCAAAGGCCGGATTGGTGGGGATCCTGGACTATCTCCCCGGGGCAGGGAGGTAAGTGTGTGTGTGTGTGTGTGTGTGTGTAATGCACACGTGTGTGCATCTGTGCATTGGTACCTTTGGGTGGTAGGATGGATATATGAATATGTAGTGAGGCTTCTGTAGCCAATGCATAGTCTAGACCTTTATTTGGTCTAGAATGTAGGGAAGGGAATGAGGTACTGAGCAAATGCACTTGAGCAGATACCAGCTGAGCCCTTTCCTGGAAGAGTTATGCTACCCTTAGAGTGGCCTGAACCCAACTGTGCTGTTAAAGGCCTTGACACAGTTCAGGGTGGGTACTGAGGACTCACAGAAGAGGTCACATGGCCTTGGGACAGTGGTTCAAGATGGGGGAACCTGATAAATATGAGATTGCTCTTGGGACCTGGGAAGAATGCACTTGGATGTCAGCATCAGGAAAGTGAGTGTAGTTTTTAACTAACCCTATTTCCTGAGGTTGGACAGAACCCTGCAGAACCCCTGCTTTGGTGTCCTTTGAGGCAGCCCAGGACCTGTGGGGCTGAATATGCTTTGATGTGTTTCAGTTTGCCAAACATCTGGCTCAGTTCATCAGTGACCAGAACATCAAGGACCTGAAGGTCTGGACGAGCCAGATGAAGAGGACTATCCAGACAGCAGAGGCGCTGAGTGTGCCTTACGAGCAGTGGAAGGTCCTCAATGAGATTGATGCGGTAATACTATCTTCTGGGTCGGGGGAGATCTCCTTCCTTAATGTGTGTGGTCTGGAGAATAATCTGGACAGTCATACTTCTGGGGTTTAAAAGAATCATCGATGTCTTTTGTGTTTGTGTGTGTCTGTACATGTTGATGGCAGTTGCTCTCTGGAGGTCAGAGGACAACCACAGGAGTTGGTTACTTTTCCACCTGTGTGCGTCTTGGTGGCAGGTGAGGTCAGAGGACAACCACAGGAGTTGGTTATTTTCCACCTGTGTGGATCTTGGTGGCAGGGGAGGTCAGAGGACAAACACAGGAGTTGGTTATTTTCCACCTGTGTGGATCTTGGTGGCAGGTGAGGTCAGAGGACAAACACAGGAGTTGGTTACTTTCCACCTGTGTGGGTCTTGGTGGCAGGGGAGGTCAGAGGACAAACACAGGAGTTGGTTATTTTCCACCTGTGTGGATCTTGGTGGCAGGGGAGGTCAGAGGACAACCACAGGAGTTGGTTACTTTCCACCTGTGTGGGTCTTGGTGGCAGGGGAGCACATTTACCTGCTGAGCTCCTCACTGGTCCTACTTGCAGTTTTAAAGGAATGAGTTTCTTAACTCATAGCAAGCCAAAAGTAAAAGGATTAATAGTGGCAGACAGATTAGATCTCAGTGCTTTGCCATCGTCACATGGGATGCTCACACTCAGTTTACACTGGTCTTGTTTTAACAATACCATTTCTTTTGCTACTGGGTTATTTTAAAGCAAATTCAAGCATAGTGTTTGATTTCTGTTTGTATTGCTGGAAATGAACGAATCACTCCTTGTTCTCATCAACAGAACCATGTCCTCATTAAGAAACCTTAAAAAAAAAAAGTCATTAGCACCAGGCATGGTGGTTCGTACTTGTGAACTCTTCACCTGTGAAGCTGAGGCAGGAGGATTGTAATGTGTTTAAGACCAACCTGGGGTATAGAGTGAGAACCATTTCAAACAACAAAACCAATTTAAAAAAAAAGAAAGAAAGGAAGAGAGAGAGAGAGAGAGAAGCATTATGGCCACACCTTAAATCCCAGCACTCGGGAGGCAGAGGCAGGTGGATCTCTGACTTTGAGGCCAGCCTGGTCTACAGAGAGGGCTCTAGGACAGTCAGAGCTGTTACACAGAGAAACCTTGTCTTGATAAAACAAAATGGACAAACAAAAAAAAAAAAAAAAAAAAAAAAAAAAAGAAAGAAAGGAAAAGAAAAAGAAGACTGGAGGACACTCGAGATGGGTGGGGTTTTCCGGAACCTGACAGGTAGGTAGAGCACAGAGACTGGAATTATCTGATACTAGAATAGGAATTTGGTGAATTTGGTGAATCTTTTCTGAACTTAGGCTCAGAAAAAAACAAAACAAAACAAACACCTTTGTGCATTTTTAAGAATTTTTATTTTTATTCATGTGTGAGTCTGTGTAAGTGTATGCCATGTGTGTGGTTGTCCATGGAGGCCAGAGGAGACCCTTCCAGAGGAATCTCACACAAGCCCCTTCAAGCACAGGCTTGTGACCTCACTGTGGTTCACCCCTGGTAGGTGTGGCTGGGTTCTCTGCAATTACAGTGGCAGCCAGGAAGTCTGTCTCGGCTTGGGGTCTCTTTCAAGCTCAAGTGCTTGTTACCAAGAGTCATCTCTCCAGGCTACAGGAGTGAGGGTCGCTGCCTTCCTAGCACTGACAGCCCAGCCGTAGTTCCTTGCCGTATGGGCCTCTTAGAATCTGGCGACTTATTTCTTCAGTCAATGAGAAGGAACCTGTCTCTTTACTCTATAAAATGGAATCTTACAATACGATATGACCCTATGGTGGACAGGGTGGTGCCTTTGCCAAGATCTGTTGGCTTAGAAGTGGCTCGCAGACCCTGTTGGCAAGAATCTCAGAGAGAAGGCCTGACTCACTCACAGGGGTCACCAGGACTTGGCCACCAAGCCTTTACTGTGTCCACCTTCTTACTCTGTTCCGCTCTCCCATTTTCTTCACAGGCATACAGTTGGTTAGGCAGTGGGAAGGAAGCAGTTACAACTTTAGTTGAAACACATTGGCTATGTTATAAGTCACGCTAAGAGGTACCAACAAGGTGCCATTTTACTATTGTCTCTGATTTTCTGTGTGGCTGAAATTTCCATAAGAAAAGTTTGTAAGTATGACATTTCAATTTCAGCATCTGTACCCTTCAAATTCTCTGCATTCTTAGTTTTTTTTTTTTTTTGTAAACTTGGTTATCATAAAGTAATACTATCGTTACACTATCATTATGATTATTTGTTTTTCTCACGTTTCTTTTTTGTACTCTATATTTTACTGTTTACTGTGCATGTTTTGATTTTTTAATATAAAATAATTTAAGTAATAAGTTGTGGGTTGGGATGGCTTAGTTAGTAGAATGCTTGCCCAGTGTGCAGAAAACCCTGCCTGGAACCCCTAGCGGTGCACGAAGTGTCATGGTGGCATGCACCTGTAATTACTGCACTTGGGAGATAGAGGAGGGACAGAGGTTCAGGGTCAACCTTGGCTCCAGTTTGAAGCCATCTTGGGCTACATGAGACGTTGAACTAAACAGAAAAGCTTAGAAACAGATTCTTGTTTCTGCTTGTTCTTGGAGTTTTAGGGCCAATACCCTGGCCCTAGGAGCCTCTCCGCCCACTCCAGTATGAGTATGACAATCAGAGACAAGGCAAAAGATGGAAAAAGGAGATGCAATCGGTGTGACCACTGTGGAGATGGACAGATGCAGAGCTCACTGACCTCTCGGTCTATCTTTGAGGACTGAGAGGAAATCTGAGATTCCGTATAAAGGGGAAACAAAGGAGAGAAGGGGTTGGGGTTTGCATGGTTGCCAAAACAGGAAGTCTTGGTTGGTCAGGCCTGTGGTCTGGTCACGCGCTCCCCTCTAGTTCTGAAAGGGGTTCTGAAGCAGTCACTCTGTCATCACTTGAGGGGACAGTTTGGTTCTCGAGAGGTGATTACTGCAGCTGCAGGATGCAGCCTTACCAGCATGGGTGAGCTTGCTGGGAGACACTTTGCATGCAAAGCCTGGGGCAGTTGTAATCCTTAGTCATGAGTGTTCATAGTCAGTCTTGTCTCTGCAATCCAAAATAACTTTCAGAGGAGAGGGGCAGGGAAGAGGAAGGAAAATATCAAAGAAGCAAAATAGAACCAGAGAGGGACAAAGTACCCGTAGTTAGGCTGACAGCCAGTCCCTTCTTCATGGTGACGGAACCCTCAAGGGCTTAGAGAGTGACTGACTGCTCACAAAGAAATGGACAAGTGATATGGAAGTCGTAACACATTGGGCTGACCTCCTAACAGTTGGGACCACTGCTGTCACTGTCCAGAGGACTGCAGGAGGAAAGGTCAGCCTGTGAGATGGGATGGCCCCGTGAAGACCTAGCCTGGGAGTGACCAGCTCACTTCCTTTCTGTGGTCTCATTCCTCATGGCCTGGTAGGCACAGTCCAGAATGCTCAGCTCCCTGCCGTCAGAGCAGTAGAGAGGGGCAAGGAACCTGGAGGTGCACATGAGATGGTCCAGTTGGTACCCGGCCCCCTTGAGATAGCCCCCTGGCTGTCCTGAAACTCTCTGTGTAGATGAGGCTGACCTCAAACTCAAGAGATTCACCAGCTCTGCGTCCCGGATTAAAAATGTGTACATACCACCACACTCAGCCCAGCATCTCCTTTAAGTTTTTGTTTGTTGTTTTACATTTTATTTATTTATTTAATTAGATTGGAATTTCACCTGCATGCATGTCTGTTAAGAGGGTGTCAGATTCCCTGAAACTGGAGTTACAGACAGTTGTGGGCTGCCATGTAGGTGCTGGGAATTGAATCCAGCCAGTGCTCTGAACCGCTGAGCCATCTCTCCAGTCCTTGCTTGTTTGTTTTTAAATGACATTTATTTATTTTTCTTTGGTTGTCTGTGACACATGCCACAGTGTTTGAGGAGGTCAGAGGACAGCTTGCTGGAGTCAGCTCTCTCCTTCCACCATGTGTGTCCTGGGGACTGAACTCATGTCACTAGACTTGGTGGCAAGTACCTTTACCTGCTGAATCATCTTATCAGCCTCCAGCACCTCTTTAAGGTGCTGTTTCAGCTGAGTGGGGCAGCACATGCCTTTAATTCTAGCACTTGGGAGGGAGGCAGCAGCAGGAGGATCTCTGTGAGTTCGAGGCCAGCCTGGTCTACAGAGTGAGTTCCAGGCCAGCCAGGGCTACCAGAGAAAGTGTGTCTTAAAAAAAAAAAAAAAAAAAAAAAAAGGTACTCTGTGTGTGTGTGTGTGTGTGTGTGTGTGTGTGTGTGTATGTCTATGTCTATAATATCAATCAATCAATATGGCTGTTTTGTTGCTATTTTGATGCCCCTGTTACATCTGCTTGAGAAGAACTTTTCTTGAGAAGATGCTACACACACATGCACGCATGAGTGCACTCATGAGGCGCGTGCGCACACACACACACACACACACACACACACGCAAACTCCTCTGAGGTATGGGATGTGTGTATGTTTTGGTTGGGTGTGCGTCTGTGAGAGGGGTGTGTGTGCGTGTGCATGTGTTTGTGTGGGGTATATGCATATTTGTGTGCACGTGGGTGCACCCAGCGGCTAGAGGAGGAGGTTGGGCGCCCTGCACCACTGCCCTCTGCCTTCTTCCTTTGAGACAGTATTTCACTGAATAAACGGGAGCCAGCCAGCCCAGTCATCGTCCAGTGTCTGCCCCACAGCCCTGGGATTGAGAGTATATGTGGCCTTGCCTAGCTTTTATATGGGTGCTGAGGATTCGAACTCAGGCCTTCCTGCTTGTGCCGCAAGTGCTCTTACCCACTGACTGTCTCCCTGTGCCCCTGGTTCCTTTGTTTTAGGGTGTGGTGAGGTTTCTTTTTTCTTACTAAGCTTTTATGTGGATAGTTTGTTTCTATTGCTGTTTCTGTTTTCAAAGTCATTATTACTTCTGCTCTTTACTTCTGGTTTGGAAAGTCTGGCTGACTATTGCTTCGTGGCTGGAGCCCTCAGAGTAGTTTCCCTTCTGGTGACTCCTTTGCCGCTGGCCTTCTTTGCCCAGCCTGAGGCCCATAGCCCCGTGACTCACCTCCGCACAGTGGGATGGATGCAGCCTTCAGGTCACTGGGCTCAGAGATCCAGGTCTGTCTGTTCTTCTTGATGAGGGAAGTTGATGCACCAGAGTCTCCATCCATCAAGGAAGTGCGGATAGCTAGCGCGGCCCTTCTCCAGACTGAAAGGCAGGCAGGGGCACCACTGAGCCCTTTATTGCAGAGGACTTCCTTTGAAGCTCTAGGGAGTCTACTTTTTCTTGTTTTTCTGTTTTCTGTTTCTTCACTGTTACGCTCTATAGTACAGGAAGTGCTCTAAGTGATGAGCTGCTGCAGACTCAGGACCCCACCTACTTCCTCTCACAGTTCCAGTCGCTTGACTCTTTTTTTTTTTTTAAATATGAAATGCTTTTCTACATGTCTTGTACTTTGACTGTTTTATCAACTTTTTTGTATGTGTAGTAAGCATTCATGTATGTCTTCATGTTTGCGTGTGCTTGGGGAGGTCAGAGGTTAACACTGAGTGTCTTCCAGCTACTCTCCACCTTATGTTTTGAGGCACAGTCTCTCATGTGTGTGCCTGCCACGTGCTGGGATTGTAGGCAGGCCACCATGCCCATCTGACGTTAAGTGGGTTCTGGGGATCTCAACCCCAGTCCTCATTCCTATCCAGCAATTGCTTTACTCACTGCGCCAACATTTAATGCATTTTTCTCTACGTGTGTATGTGTGCCTGCTTGTCTGAATGTGCACATGTGCAGGTGTAGATGCCTCCAGAAGCCAGAAGAGAGCACCATATATAGGTTCCACACTAGAACATAGTTCAGCCAAGTTCTCCACCTTAGAACAGTGATCATCTTTTCTCTAGTTTTTCATGGCCGGCCAGCACTTTAACTCCTTCTGAGGCTTCACAGAAACATCCTAACACCCACATTTCTTTATTTTTTCCTGTTGAAGCAGGATCTTGCTCTGTCTCTCAGACTGGCCTGATCCTCTTCCTCAGCCTCCTGAATATTGAGTTGCAAGTGTTTGCTTCCACAATGGGCTGTACTCACATTTCCATTGTGGCGCGCGCGCCTGTGTGTGTGTGTGTGTGTGTGTGCGTGCTTGCTCACATGAGTGTGTGCATGTGTGTTTGTGCACATGAGTTTGTGTGTGCATAATATGTCCAGCTTCCTGGGTGTCGTGCACATTTGCATATGGGTGTGCGAGAGCCCAGAGGTCAGCACTAATGCTGAGTGTTCGTCAGTCAGTGTCCATCTGACTTCTTTGAGACAGGGTCTTTTGCTGGACCTGGTGCTCCAAGGATGCTTCTGCCTCTGCCTTCCCAGTGCTAGTATAACAAATGTGTGTTACCATATTATCTTTTTACATGTTTTGGGGATCCAGACTCAGATCCTCATGAGGCAGCAAGCATTTTACTGACGGAGCCATCTTCTCAGCCCGACCAGGCTTTCTTTACCATCCCTGCTTCCCTCTAACCCTTCCCACAATCCCCTTTGACATTTACACTGTTACCAACAGACTCTTCAACAGACCTAAAATAGTCTTCCTGCCTCTGTAACCACTTCCACATTCTTAGGGACTTATTACAACACTGTTTCACTTCCTGATCTCTTAGGGTACCACAGTGGTGTCTCACTCAGGTGAGGTAGGTCATGAGATGGTTCAGCCTCTTCAGCACCTCAAATAACTCTTTGGTACTTTCCGTCACCTTTCTTCTCTGCCGGTGGTGGACTGTGTTTTATTTGTGTGGGTGTGTGGTGCCTGCAGAGACCAGAAGAGGGTGTTGGATCCTTTGGAACTTCAGTTACCTACCGGTGACTTAAGTCACAGTTGGGTGACTGTGACCCACTCAACATGGTTTCTGGGAGCTGAACGTGGGTCCTCTGGAAAGGTGTTGTTAACCATTGAGCAGTCTCTGTATCTCCTTTCTTGTCATTTTAATTGTGTGTGTTTCTTTGTGTGTCAGTGTGTGAGGATGTGGGTAGTCCAGGTGCCTATGAGGATCTGGGGCATCAGATCTAGAGCTGGAGTTACAGGCAGTTGTGAAATACCTGAAGTGGGTTCTGAGAATTGAACCCAGGTCCTCTGCAAGAGCAGGATGCTCTCTTAACTGCTGAGCCATCTCTCTGGCTCCACGTTGTTTTCATGTGGAGCAGGCTCATCTCACCCTTGACCTTCAGCTCGTGTACTCATGATTCATCTACTGGGCTCAGCTTGGCTTGTTCTATTTTGATGTTTGTACAAGATGATGTATGTGTCGTCTGTCTGTCCATCCCCTGCCCCACCCTTTGCTGCCTGCTTGCTCTTGTCCTCTGTGGCCTGCTCTCTCCCTGCAGCATTACAAATGAGTTTTTGAAATTACTGTTCACACAGCAGTCTCTACTCATATTTAGTACTTACATAATAGACAAGACTTAAGGGCCGATGAGATGGCTCAGTGGGTGAAGGCACTTGCTGACAAGCCTGACAACTGACCTCTGCAGGTTGTCCTCTGACCTCCACAACCATGTCATGCCAAGAGCATATGGGCCCACACACACAATAAACTAACAGACAAACAAATAAATGCAATAAAAAAATTTAAGGCAGGTGTAGTGGTGCACGCCTTTAATTGCAGCACTTGGGGGCAGAGGCAGGTGGATCTCTGTGAGTCTGAGGCCAGCCTGGTCTACAAAGTGAGTTTCAAGACAGTCATGGTGGTATATGGAGACCTTGTCTCAAAGAACGAAAAAAAAAAAAAAAATTCAAGCCTTAGGAACAGACACACATTAAGTCCTATATATCTGTGTGATGGATGGGAAGGACTGTTTTGATAGCTTCCTACAGATGTGGCTGCCAGTGTACTCAGTGTCCAGAGAGGGTCTGCGTTCTCACACCGTGTAAGCTTTGTGGTAGGAATGTCCCTTTGGCCCGGGAAATGCTGGCCTCTCTGCTGCTGCAACCCGGGTTAGTCTTTTCAGCCTGGCACAGGCGGTACCATTACTGCTGTGTCTTCCCAGGGCGTCTGTGAGGAAATGACCTATGAAGAAATCCAGGATCACTACCCACTGGAGTTTGCCCTCAGGGATCAGGACAAGTATCGCTATCGGTACCCAAAGGGCGAGGTAGGTGGGAGCTGGGGTCTCAGTCACAGTGCCTGCCGCCTGCCTGGCAGTGCTGCTTGTGGTCAGCGCTCAGAGCCTTGGCCTCGAGCCGACGGCATAGGTGTGGTTTCTCCCCCATCAGTTCCCAGCTCTGTCTGTCTCCTGAACCTTTGCTCTTCCTTGGGTGGTGGGAGGGGATGGTGCTACGGAGAGCAGAGATTAGCCATGTTGGCCTCTCTGTCTTTGTTACCCCCTTCCTAAGGGTGCAGACCTGGCAAGGGCAGAGACTGAGCTCAGTGCCCCTAGCTCTGTTGGGTTTGGCTTTTCTGGGACTTCTGTAGCTTAGCCATCTTCTGGGATTCTCAGGCCAGCTCCTTACTCAGGGAGCCATTAGCCTTTTCCCAGAGTGCTCTAAGTGGCCAGGCCTCACTCCAAAGATGCAATCCACCCTTATCTCTGCCTGGGACCTTTACCCTTTTTTTGGATGCTTACCCTTGTCACAAGGTGATCCTATTGGCCCCAGAGCATCATGTGCCAACCCCAACTCCGCTTCCAGATCCATGGAGACCTTCTCTAGAGAGATTTGGCAAAGTGATCACACTGCCACCATCCCTCAGAGAGCCCCTGTCATTCCAGACACTCTGGCTGAGGAATCTCCTCCTGCTTCAAGGAGGCGCCCGGGATGGTGATTTCATAAGCCCTGAGACACGTGTGTGGAATCATGTAGCTCTGGGTGACATGAATAATTCTCACATTGTGCTGTGAGGCAGAGTTCAAGTTCAGAACCAACCCACATAGTGGGAAAGATAGTCGATCAGGATCGGGGAGACAGCGTAGTCAGTTGTCGGCCTTAGAAACATGAGGGCCTAAGTTTGATCCCCAGGACCCAGGTTAAAAACAAAACAAAACAAAAACACCTGGTGTGGTGTGCATGCCTGTAATTCTAGTACTGAGGAGGTAGAGGCAGGTCAACCCTTGGGGCTTGCTGGCTGGCCAGCCTCCCCTACTCTGCCCCAGGCCACTGAAAGACCCTGTCTCAAAAAATAAGGTAGACAGCACCTGATAAACATCTGAGGTTGACCTCAGAGCCTCCACATGTGTGTGTACATATACATAGAATCACTGAACATATACCCTTCCACTACACACCCAAAAATAATTAAAAAAAAAAAAAGAGACACAAAAAAGAATCGTCCCAGAACTGCCAAAGATCATCATGGTTGGGGTTAGTATTGCTGTGTGATCACAGCCACAGCAGGGGCAGACTCTGCCGGGGCTGTATTTGAAAGATGGAGAACTGTGCAGAAGAATTTCCCTCACCACCCCCCCCATGCCTAATTCTCGGTTAAAATGGAGCTAGGGGTTGCTCCAGGGGCCAGCAGGGATACAGCTCCCCATTACCACAACAGTGGGGAGGGCAGGCTAGCAGATAATCATACTAGTTGTTCCTAGGGACCTGAGGTTCCTGACAGTTGTCATACTCTAGGAAGTCCTAGGGCCTTTGTCCTACCACACACACCCACTGCCCTCTCCATGTACTCCAGTGCTGTGGAATAGAGGTGGAAGCTGCAGAGGGCCCCATGGATGGCATGAGGTGGCTGTGTAAACTAGGGGCATGACTGCTCCAGAGCATGGTTAAGAGGAAATTTATTATTGTAGATATGAGGGAGAGAAGAGCCAGAGGCATCTGGAAGAATCCACAGTAGAGAGAGGAAGTTGTAGACCTAACACATTCAGCAGACTGGGCCGGCCACGAGAGAAGAATGGGAGGGAGAGAGAGAAACAAGAGCTGGAGAGACAGGCAAGAGAGGGGACCAAGAGAGCTCATGGCCAGAGTAGATGGTTACAAAGGAATGAGAAACTGGGGGAGAAGAGCCCATGAGCTGAGTTTAGGGTAGGGGTAGGGTGAGAAGGTCCTTGTGGCACTGAGGGGCTCTGAAGACCAGCATTGCTTCAGTAAGCCCTTTATCCAGAGTTTTTTGGGGCCTGATAGTAACCTTTTGGGGTATGTCTGAGGCCTTGCTCTCTTGGTCCTACCAGGACCTAGCCCTGGAAGGAGAAGGTGGCCTCCTTCCCAGGTTGTCCCCAACTCTGCCCAAAGCAGCCCTCCAGGGGCAGCTGCCCACTTCATTCCTTTAGGGACTAGGCTGGAGGGAGCTTAGAGACGACCTGGGGCGTGGCGAGAAACTCCAGGAGTTGCAGGTGGCCTGCTGCCCAGCACACCTGTCTTAGGTAGGGTTCCGATTGCTGGGATGAAACACAATGGCCAAAAGAAAGTTAGGGAGGAAAGGGCTATTTGGCTGACACTTCCACATTAAAGTTCTTCATTGAAGGGAGTCAGGACAAAATTGAAACAGGACAGGAACCTGGAGGCAGGAGCTGATGTAAAGGCATGGAGGGGAGCTGCTTACTGGCTTGCTTCCCATGGCTTGCTCAGCCTGCTTATAGAACCCAGGATCACCAGCCCAAGGATGACCCCACCCACAATGGGCCGAGTCCTTTCCCTTCAACCATTAGTTAAGAAAAAGTTCTTATGGAGGGATTTTTCTCAGTTGAGGTAATCTGGTGTCGTAGAGTTTCTATTGATGTGAAGAGACACCATGACCACGGCAACTCTTATAGAGGAAAACATTTAACTGGGGCTGACTTACAGTTCAGAGGTTTAGTCCATTATCATCATGGCGGCATGCAGACAGACGTGATGCTAGAGAGTATTATCCTACATCTGGATCCATAAGCAGCTGGAAGAGAGAGTGACGCTGGGCCTGGCTTGAGCGTTTGAAACCTCAAAGCCCACTCCCAGTGACACATTTCCTCCTACAAGGCCACACCTCCTCCAGCAGGGCCACAGCTCTTAGTAGTGCCACGCCCTATGAGCCTGGGGGGGGGCGCATTTTCGTTCAAATCACCACACCTCCTTTCAGATAACGCTGGTTTGTGTTGAGTTGACATAAGTCTAGTCAGTACAACACCTGACTTAGTTCCTACCCCGGAACCAGGCCTGAAGGATACCTTCGTTGCTTGCCTTTGCAGTCCTATGAAGACTTGGTACAGCGACTAGAGCCTGTCATCATGGAGCTGGAGAGACAGGAGAATGTGCTGGTCATTTGCCACCAGGCTGTGATGCGCTGCCTCCTGGCCTACTTCCTTGACAAGGCAGCTGGTGAGGGGCCTTGGCCGGGCAGGTGGGCGGTGTGCATGACATGGGGACATTCAGGCATGTATGGCATGTGAGCCCTGTCTTTCTATGTCCACAGAAGAGCTGCCCTACCTCAAATGTCCCTTGCACACAGTCCTGAAGCTCACGCCTGTGGCTTACGGTAAGGGAGCTTCCCACGTGTTGACCTTGGCTGTCTGTAGGGTTCTGTGATGATCCCCAGATCTCTTCTTTCCACTGGGACGCATTCATCCCCACTCTCCACCACACACTGCCTTTCCCAGTTCCCCCTTTCTGTTTCTCTTCTTTCATTGTTTTTGCTCAGAAACTTCCTGTCTCATCCTGTACCCCCCCAGTGCTGGGTTCTAATTGTGCACTAATTTGCTTTTCAGTTTTTAAAAACTCTGTGTATTCAATTGTGGTAGTGTATACTTGTAATCAGGAGGCTAAGGTAGGAAGATTGCCAAGAGTTTGAGGCCAGCCTTGGCTACATAGTGAGTTCAAGGCCAGCCTAAGCTACAGAATGAAAGCCTGTGATGACCAGTGATCTTTGATCTTTCCTTAACCCTAGAATATTCTGGAAGCAGGACATTTGTGTCCCTCCCCTGCCTCTTACTGCACCGCACATGCTCAGGCCACAGCCCACTCTGTTGCATCATGCTCGTGGAAGATGAGCTCCAGGGGAGCTGGAGTTGCCCTCCCTCCTCCGGCGCTGACTGGACTTTCTGTGGCAGGATGGAGGGTGGCACTGGCTTGCGGGTACCAAGAGTAAGGGTTTCCATATTGATCATTGACCTGTTGCTGCCCCAACCATGTCCAGTCCTGTGTAGGTAGCTTGGGTCCCCCATGAGGCACACATGGGCAGTCACACATGGGTAAGCAGGGTCTGACAAGGCTCCCTTGCCTCCTGGTGGTCCCTGGAGCTGTCTTGGGAAGGAAGGATGAAGGTAAAGCTGAGCTCTGTACATTCTAGCCACCTCCTCAGAAAAGCTTTTGCCTCTCTGTGGCTCTTGCTGCCATTTGCATAGGGACTTCACTGGCTTCTTCCTTTGGCAGGTTGTAAAGTGGAATCCATATTCCTGAATGTGGCAGCTGTGAACACACACCGAGACAGGCCTCAGGTAGCACTGGGCTCACTGCTGGGGTGGTGGACATGTTCCCCAAGGGTGATCTGACTCTATGTCTTCAGGATTCCCAATTAGGTCAGGGCCAGGCTAGGGTAATGGTGAGTCTCTTCCCAAGGCTGTTTTCTGTTTAGGTCTGTCTCCTGTGGCCAGAGTGGGGCTATGGCCTGGTTAGTGTTTCCCAAGGTCAGCCCTGGGGAGGGACCTGAAGTTATGCCACCAGCAGAAAACCCTGGAGCTGGGTGTGTTTGGCTCCCAGTTCTTAAGGCCTCAGAAGCTCCTGAAAAGCCCTGCCATGTATCTGGACCAGAGCTGGTCTGGGCAGGGAGATGCTAAATGCCCATACATGGTAGGTGGTGATTCTGGCCTCCCTTGCCAGTCTAAGCATCATGAGCCTTTTTAACTGGGCACCTTTGAACTTTAAGAAGTACCATGGGCCTGGCATTGTGGCTGAGTTGGTAGAATGCTTGCCTATCACACAGGGCACTGGATTTGATCCCTAGCAGTGCATAATGACACACACATGCCTATTATCCCAGCATACAGCGGCAGGAGATTCAGAAGTTCGAAGTCATCCTTGGCTATATAGTGAGTTTGAGGATAACAGGAGCTACATGAGACCCTCTCTCAATAAAACAAAAACACTAGCAAACCAACCCTGCCTCAAAGTAGGGATCTACTTTGCTACCTGCTCCTACAGCTCCTGGGCTAGTCAGTGAGCTCAGTGTCTGCCAAGAGCGCATGTCTCTGTCCTCGAAGGTTTGGCTATGTTGTGCTGCCCAGGGCTACCTCTCCTCACATATCCCTCAGTTTCTGGGATCAAAGGAAGCTGCTGAGGGCTCACAGGGCAGCCTTATGGAGCTCAGGGAGGCTCCAAATGTCCCTACGCCCACCCCAGTTCCTCAGGCCTGAGATACCAGAAGCTCAGCAGGCCAAAGGTGGACCTAGGCCGTATGGCTTTGAGTGATTCCGTCCTGAAGAGATAAACCATGTTACAAACTAGATGTCCATAGGCTGCTAGAGCCAGGAAGGAGGAACGTCCTCAGGTGGGAGGTGGTGTGGCCTGTCTATGGGCAGCACCTGACAAACTTACAGTGGAGCATGGAGTGGGCCATACCCTCACCCCACACCTGTCCCCTCATCTGAGCACCCAGCAGGTCCAGCAGGTGGTTCTTCCTGCTTAAGGACAGGTTAGGGTCTTTGAGCTGGGGCCGCTTGAGGTGGGATGTGTATCTGACTACAGTGATCAGGGCAGCAGGAGTGAGGAGTCCCATCTATTCCTGAGCAGGGTGAACAGCCTTTGTCTTTATTGTTGTACAGAATGTAGACATATCCAGGCCTTCGGAGGAGGCCCTTGTCACAGTCCCTGCTCACCAGTGACCACATCTCACCCAGGACCCCCGGACAGCCCTCCCTTCTGCAGAGAGAGTCACTCTAGGCCTCCTTGGTGTTTGCAGTGCTGATGATGTCACCACGCAGGAACACTCCTGAAAGCCATGGGTGGCTAGCAACACTCCAGTGACAGTGTTGGGTAAGGCTACTGACCTGCTGCTGAGTTCCCTGGGCTTTGTGCCCTGCTGCTGGCCCCTCTGCTCCAGCCCTCAAGCAGCCTGCTCACCAGCCTGGCTGCTTCACGAGGCTTACAACCTCAAATGTGACACTGAGATAGAAGTCTCACTAGAACGTCTGCACTGTGGCGCAGCTGCCTGAAATGGGCCAGGTGACCCCTGGAGAGCTTCGGTGCCCTCTCTGTAGCCACTCTTGAAGCCAGAGGTCAGATCTTCATGGGACCTTCGTGTGCACTGCCTCAGGTGAAGGGAAAACCCTCCTTTCCCTGCCTGGAACGGAAGAGTGGAGTAGAAGAGCTGTCACCCATATCTGTGGGTGTTCATGAGAACAGACATCCTCTTTGGCGTTTAACACTGAATAAATGTAGAAGGCAGCTTTGTGATGCCCTTCCTAATGTTTACCAAGTTGTACACTGAAATATGGGATAGCTGCAGCTCAGGCTGCCTTGTCCTAAATTCCCCCACAGGGGACCATGTAATGGCAGGGCAGCTGCACGAAGTACCTTCTTGGCGCATACACCAAAGTGCTCATGGAAACTGTCTCCCCTACCTGGCTGTTGCTGTCACTGTCCACACAGGACTAAACACTGCTGACCACAAACAACATGCCTTTGTCATAAATGGCTCAGAACTGATAACCCTGTCAGATGGTCTTCTTGTGTGCTGACCTGCACCTGCAGGACTGAGGAAGGAGAGGACAAAACATGGAGGCAGCCCCAGCCAAGGGAGCAGTCCGCAGCCCCACTCAGTTTTGACTCATATACAACTTAAGCCCACTGAAAACAGCCTTATGAAGCCTGGTGCCTCCCGTGCCCCGAGGCAGCGAAGTCAGGCTCCATGTTTCAGCTGACCAGCAGAGTGACAAGCAGGCTGTGAAGCAGGGCAAGAAACTGTCTACAGCAGCAATCAGTGCTCTGCCATGAGGAAGCAAGGCCCTGCATTCAAGAACATTTCCAGGCCCGAATCTGGCAGAACAGTTTACCTTTGGCAGCCCTGCCAGCCCTGAGCTGGGTAGCTTGCAGATGCCATCTGCCTCCAAGAAGCCAGTGCCATTATCCCCAGGCTGGAGCTGGGGCTAGGATGGTCATGACTCTCCTGTACTTGTCTCATGAGACCCTCCAAGCCCTGGCTTGAAGCTACAGGACTGTACCACTGCCTTTGCAATGTGGGGCCTGGGACTTTCGCTCCCTGTCTCTCAAAATTTGAGTGATGTTGGTCATGTTTTCTCCACACACTTGTTAGCCATAGCAGACCCTGTGGTCAGCAGCTACAAACACATAGCTGGGTGCCGCTCGAGGTGGAGACCACCAAAGCCTTTTTCCTCTGTGCCCAGGGAGGACAGGAATTGCTGGACTCAGAGGTGTTAAGAGCCTAGGGTTGGGGCAGAAGGATGTCATGGAGCAGGGCATGTGCTGGGCAGTCCTTTCCTCAAGCACCTTGAAGGGTCCTCCGTAAGGCAGCTGTATGCCAGCTTTTAGCTGAGATGTTCATGGACAGAATTGCCAACATTGTCCTGCTTTCCTTAGAACGTGTGGTTTTGGATTTCAGTTGTACATTGCACTGTGTCCAGCATTCTTTGCAATAAATACTTTTTAAAAAGCAGTTATTTGAGATGGTATTTTACAGCTCTCTCTCCTCTCTCCTCTGTGTGTGTGTGTGTGTGTGTGTGTGTGTGCGCACACACACACACACACACGCACACACGCGCGTGTGGTCTGCTGTGGAATAATCCTTCCATACATTGTGAATATGTATTACTCTCGTTGGTTCATAAAAATGCTGATTGATTGGCCTAAAGCAAGACAGGAAAAAGGTAGGACATCTAACTGAGGGTACTGGGATAAAGGGTGGAGTGAGGGAGTCGCCAGTCAGATGGAGAACTTTTCAGTTGGACATCCAAAATGAAATAGAGCTAAAAGCCATGAGCTTTGTGGGAAGAATGTAGATTAATGGAAATGAGTTAAACTGTAAGAGCTAGTTAGTAACAAGCCTGAGCTGTTGGTTGAGCATTTATAAGTAATAGTAAGCCATTGTGTTGATTATTTGGGAAGTGGCCACAGCACAGAAAAACCCTGCCTACAATATTCTTTCTTCCAGCTCTGCTGTCACCTGGTGTTTAGGCTTTCTCACAGGTGTGTGTGGTGGTTTGAAAGAGAAAGGTCCCCAAAGGGAATGACACCATTAGGAAGTGTAACCTTGTTGGAGGGAGTGTGCTATTGTGGAGGTGGGCTTTGAGGTCTCATATATGCCCAAGCTATCATCCAGCATCTCAGACCACTTCCTGTTGATGCAAATCAAGATCTCTTAACACCTACATGCCACCATGTCAATAATGGGCTAAACGTCTGAAAATGTAAGCCACCCAAATTAAATGTTTTGCTTCATAAGAGTTGCCATGGTCATGGTCTCTTCACAGCAATTGAAACCCTAAGATAGTGTGTGTTGGACTCCTTCAGTCAGCTTCTGCCCAAGTGTTCCCCCTTGAAAGCTACAGCCAGGTGGCACACATCTGTAATCTCAGCACTCTGGAGGCAGAGGCAGGAGAATCTCTGTCTTAGTATCCTATTGCTGTGAAGAGACACCATGGCCACGACAACTCATAAAAGAAAGCATTTACTGGGGGCTGGCTTACAGTGCCAGAGTTTAGTCTATCCTCGTCATGGCCTAAAGCATAGTAGCATGCAGGCAGACATGGTGCTGGAGAAGCAGCTGTGAGTTCTGCATCTGAATCCTCAGGCAGCAGAAAGAGAGTCAGTGGCCTGGATTGGGCTTTTGAAACCTCAGAGTCCACCTCCTCCTAGTGACACACTTCCTCAACAAGGCCACACCTAATCCCTCTCAAACATTGCCACACCCTGATGACCAGGCATTCAAATATAAGGGGGGGGGGCAGGCATTCTTATTCAAATCACCATAATCTATCAATAAATCCTCTCTCTCTTCTTCTTCTTATTCCTCCTTCTTCTTCCTCCTCCTCCTTCTCCCTCCTCCTTCCTCCTCCTCCTCCTTCTTTTGGTTTTTCAAGATAGCTTTGGAGCCTGTCCTGGAACTCGCTCTGTAGACCAGGCTGGCCTTGAACTCACGGAGATCCGCCTGCCTCTGCCTCCCCAGTGCTGGGATTAAAGGCGTGTGCCACCTCCCTGCTCTCTCTCTTAATTTATAAAATGTGATTATTTTTATGTTATGTTTATGGGTGCTTGCCTGCCTGTATGTCTGTTTACCACATGCATACCTGGTACCCACAGAGGCCAGAAGAGAGCACTGGATTCTCTGGAACTGGAGTTACAGTCATGAGCTGCTGTGTAGATTCTGGGAATTGAACCTGGGTCCTCTGGAAGAGCAGCCAGTGCTGTTTACCACTGAGCCATCTCCCCAATCCAGGGTCTCGCTCTCTCTTTTGCTTTTTGCTGTTCCTTGTCTACAGAACTCACTCTGTAGACAAGGCTGGCCTTAAACTCAAGGGATCCACCTCCCTCTGCCTCCCGAGTGCATCACCTGCCAGACTCCAACCCAGGGTCTCCTAACCAAGCTCAGTTTGGAGTGCTTAGGGTCTTTCTGGGACTTAATTGCTTTGCTTTATTTACATACATGCTACCCACCTCAAATTTCATTCACACTTACCTTCAGGTAAATTGCTGCCCCCTTGTCCCCAACTCCCACAGCCAGGCATCCCCATACACATGGGAGATGGCCACTCCCTGGCAGTCACTGTCTTTTCACATGCCTTCCTCTAAAATTGTGGCCAATCTTAGCTCTGTTTTCTAAATTTATGTAAAATAAAGCACTTGCCTAGCGTGAGGCCTCAGATGGATACCCAACACCACAAATAAGCAAAAACTGATGCAGTAATTGCCCACATCTTGGTCATCCTCACCTGGAATTGCATCAGGCTCCACAGGAGTGTCCTGGCTTTCATTTTGCCTCATTAAATCTTATCAGGTGAGTTGTAGCCAGAGGTGTTATCATTTTAAAATAATTATTGAGGGGCTGGAGAGATGGCTCAGTGATTAAGAGTGCATACTATTCTTGCAGAGAATCCAAGTTGTTCTTGCATAGGGCCCAAGTTCAATTCCCAACACACATGATGTTTCACAACTGTCTATAAATCCAGCTTTCCTGTGCACAAGTGGCATACACACTGGGTACATAATTTTAAAATAGCAAGATAATTTTGAAAGATTCATATATTTCTGTGTGTAGACGGCAGTGTCTTTATGTATAGGTATGTGTAGTACGTGAAAGCTAGAGGTCATTGGATCCCTTGACTCTGGAGTCTCAGGCAATTGCGAGCTGCTTGATCTGAGTGCAGGGAAGCACATAGGGCTTCTCCGGAAGAGCAGCATGTGCTCTCACAGAAATAGGAATCTTCCCAGGGAGTAGAGCATGTTTTCATTTTGTGCCTTGACTCTGTTCTTTCTTTAAGCTGTTAGTCCACTGAGAAGCTATCACCTGACATCACATCTGGACCACTCAGACAACTCTTGGAGTCTAAAGCCTTGTCTTCCTGTGTTCATCACTGGCCTGGCCTCCCAAGGTTTGATGCCCTGTTTTTAGCATAAGTTTGTGCTAGGAGAGGGTGGTGACTTAGTAACCAGTGCCCTAAATCTAACCAGGCACCATTTGGGTGCCTAGTAATTCAGTCCTTCCTCAGACCCCAGAGGTCAAAGACTTAGTCCTCCAGGACTGTCCCCAATTCAGGTTTCAAGGGGAAAGTCAAGTCACACTGAAGAGTGGCTGGCTATGAATCTTGGGTACCCACACCCCCTCCACAATTTCTGTGACTCATCAGAGCAATTCACGGGACTCCGGAACTTAAGACTATAGAGGGTGTGACTCAGAAAGAGGCTGGCTCTTTTGTACATCCCTTCTTTCTTCCCTCTCTCCCTCTCTCCCCCTCCCTCCTGGTATTGGCAGGAAGAAAGCTATTCTAAAGTGACCCCTGTGTCCCTCCCATCTGGCTATCAAACTACGGAAACAATGGACCCCAGATAACTACAGTTTCCCAGGGAGAAGTAAAGGGCTGAATGAAGGCTGGTCCTGGCCAGAGGAAGGGATTTCTCTCAGTTCCTTCTGACAACTTGTCATAGCATGTGGCAAGACAGACTTGGGTTGGGTACAACAACTTGGGCTGGACCCCACTCCTTTTGGCCTGTTTAACCCAAGCCTCTTGTTGGTACCCTGAAGATGGATTTGGGGATGATGGCCCCTGGACTTCTTTATTTATTCCAATTCCCAACAGAAAAGAGTAAATCTTTTCTGACTTCAATGAATAATTTTAGTCTAACCGTAAAAACTGGTCACATGCTTTTTTCTAAAAAACCAAACTGAACCTAACAACCCGTGGCAGCTACTGGGGCTGGAGGCAAATGCCTTTACCCACACCCCTTCTTTCTTTCTGGGAGGACTTGAACCCAGGCCTTGCACACAGCTCTACCATGAAGCAGTGTCCCAGTCTCCAAGTGAATCGTTGAGAAAGCGGTGGCTTCCAAACCATTTTATCTTGGTAACAGGAGACTCCAGTCTGTCAGTGGAGAACACAACACTCTTTTTGCAGGCTTTTGGCCTCCTCATTTTTCTTTTAAAGATTTATTTATTATTATGTATACAATATTCTACCTGTATGCCAGATGGTTGTGAGCCACCATGAGGTTGCTGGGAATTGAACTCAGGACTCCTGGAAGAGCAGTCACTGCTCTTAACCACTGAGCCATCTCTCTAGCCCCAGGCTTCCTAGATTCGAGGAAAAAAAAAAAAAAAAAAAAACTGGGAAGGTAACTAGAAGATTGTGTGTGTGTGTGTGTGTGTGTGTGTGTGTGTGTGTGAGAGAGAGTGAGTAGGAAAAGGCAAGCTGGATCTCAGCAGCTGCCAGGAAGAGGGAGATGGGCATGTGGAGGAGAAAAGGCTATCCTCTTTTGAGTGAAGAAATCAGACAGGCTGAGTAAGGAAGGGTAGGCAGCCACGGGGTGTGTGTGTGTGTGGTTCCCCAAAGAGAAACGGTAAGAATTTCAGATGTCTGGGCAAGTGGGTTGAGGATGTGAGCTGGAATCTGAAAAAGGGACATAGAGGAAAGAGAAGCCAGAAGGCAGGCTTCACAGGCAGCACCAGTAAACCCCCTGTCGCGGAACTTGCTTTGGTGGTAAGAAGTAACTCCCTGGGGAGACAGTTGTTCCTCCCATCTTCAGCATTTTTTTCTAGACTCCATCATGCGACCCCATGAGCAGGCGGTCAGACTTGAATTAGCTACAGGTAATTACCCAGGGCTTTACTGAGCCTTTGAATATCGCTCCAGCTGTATCACATTTCTTTCCATCCTCTGGCAGTTCCCATGAGGTTGGGAAACAGGAATTTTCTTCTTAGCATGGGAGGCCTGGGCACGGAAGGAAGGGTATTATCAACAGAGCCATGTGTGAAGGGTGAACACAGCTGGTTAGCTGCTGGGGCTTCAGAGTCTAAGAAGCAAGTGGGATATTTCCCCTTTCTTCAAGGTTATCCGGGACACAGGAGGTGGAGCCCAAAGATGAATGGAGAGGGGCCTAGCCTTGTTGACCTCCAAGTCTATTGACACCTGACTAAGTACCCAACACCGCCCTCTATCATACTGATGTGTCTGAGGGTACAGCTCATTGGCTGAGCCTGTAGCAGAAGCGCAGTGGATGCTGAGGAAGGGGTGTTTGACTGACCAGCATCCAAAATGGATGTAAGGGGCCCAGGTGCTGGGTGAGAAGAACAAGGCCATATCCAGACACGCCCACCCTGTCTGAGCCTTCTGAGCATCACTGGGTATTGTTCTGGCTGCCAGGCCCATGTACCGTTCAAAGATACAAATTGTACATTTTAGAAAATGTATGTGTGTAAGTGTTTGCCTCCACATACATATGTGTACCATGTGTGTGCTTGGTGACCACAGAGGTCAGAAGAGGTCATGGACTCCCCCGACACTGCAGCTGCAGATGGTTGTGAGCCACCATGTGAGTGCTGGGAACCAACCCAGCTCCTCCACAAGAGCAACTGGTGTTTTTAACTGCTGTGCCGCCTGCATCCCTGGAACAGTTATTCTAATTGAGTTGGTGATGCCATCCAGGCATCCAATTTAAGAATTAAAAGATGGGCTGGAGAGAGGACTCAGTGGTTAAGAGCAGTGGCTGCTCTTCCAGAGGACCTGGGTTCAATTCCCAGCACCCACATGATAGCTCACCACTGTTTGTACCTCCAGCTCCAGGGGATCCCCGCATATATTGCAAAACACAAATGCATATAAAATAAAAATAAACAAAAAAGAATTAAAAGGCAGGAAAAGTTGGAAAGTCAAGCAATGCCCAAATTAATCCAAAGAGGACAATTTTTTATTATAGTTTAAAAGCAAAACCTGGTCCGGTGATGGTGGTGAATGCCTTTCATCCCAGCACTCAGGAGGCAGAGGCAGGCAGAGCTCTCTAAGTTCAGGGCCAGGCAGGTCTGTCTACATAGTGAGACCCTTATCAAAAACAAACAAAACAAAACCCCTTCTGCATCTGAAGAAAGGGAATAAGAGAAGGGGAAAACACCATATTCCCTTTGAGTTAAACCAACATGGGGTAGGAGGCAGATGCTCGCAGCCTTATAGGAGAGAGTGGAATTTTAGAAGAAACTCAAAGTATTAGCAAAAGCACACTTACAATCTGACAGGCATCCAGAAGGACTAAACAAGGGGAAAGAGAAAGACAGACTTGACGGAAGCTCATGGCAGCTTGTAGGAACAGTTCATGGTGTTCAGGAATCCTGGGAAGGAAACGTACAGTATCTCATCAAAGGGGTAATTAGTCTGTCTATCCTTGAGCACAGCTTAGGCGAGCCTGTCTTCCTAGGGATGGCCCTACCTTGCTGACAGGGTAACCCTGTGGCCTGGCTGACCAGGTTACCTCTTTCACATTTTTCATAGTTTAGGATTCCATCTTCTTGACCAGAAGGAACTAGTGTTTCCTTAAGAGCTTGTTGCTTCCTTTCCTGGCTCGCCCTAATCCTACAGGCTGGGTAACTGCTGGGGACCTCCCAGATTCTTCTCTGGGCTTGATCTTTGTCTACAGCAGTGGTCCAGTCTCAGATGAGAAACGTGTGAGGGGACAGTGAGAACATATTGGCTCGAGTGGTCCACTAGCGGACTCATGGGTTCAGCCTTGAGTAGACAATACTAGCTGTTCCCGGTGCTGGGCAGTGACACCATACCTTCCTTTGCTGGCGGTGCTAGGAACTTTGCCCCACACTGAGGGAAAGAGGCAGCCTGTCAGAATGTTGTCAGGAGGTGGCCTGTAAGTGCCCTGGGAACTGTTAGTTCTTACCCTCAGGATAGGCCCCCTGGGCGAGTGAGCAGCTGCCTGGGCTGGAGTCTGGGTCACTGGGAGATGGAGGTATCGTCTCAGGGCTGTCCCCAGATTGAGGTCCTGGGAGTCTACTAGAAGTTACTTGAATTTATTGAGCACTGTCCTCCGCCTCACTCCTTACGGTCCTCAGGTGGACCTGTCCATTAAGGGTCCATTAAGTCAGGAGAAAATCGCAGCTGCCCTGAGGGCAAAGTTGGGACGCATGTACCAGTTGCTCACACTGGCGCTCAGGTGTTGGGATAACGTTGCCACGGGGATCCTCTCCCCGCCCCTAAGTCAGCTGCAAGGGGGTCTCCCCACTAAAGTACCCCCTGAGCACAAAGCAATTTGGGTGTACCAATCCCTCCTTCTGAGTCTGGGAAACCTGTCTCAAGTTTTCACCGACGGGATCGGAGAGCAGCGGTCAGGATGGGTGGGGCGACCGCTTCCCTTCCCTCCCACCTCCTCCCCACTGGGGCGGGGGTTCCGGGAACCGGCCGGGGCGGGGCAAGGAGGCTAGGGCCCCGCGGGTCGCTGAGGTTGCGGAGGCACCGCGGCCCTGTGCTGGGTCAGTCTGCTCGTCGGTCTGTCTGTCTCGCCATGGCTGTGCCGGTGCCCTCTCTGCGGACCCTGTTGCTGCTGCTGCTGTTGCTGCCGCCGCCTCCGAGTGGTGAGCCTGGAAGGAGGGGGCGGTGTGCGCTGCCCAGGGACCGGGTAGGGTCAGTCACTTCCTTTAGCTGTCTATGGAACGAGCCAGACAGTGCCAGCCCTGGAGTGCTCCGACTTGACCCCCTGATAGCCGAGGGGGCGTCTGCGAACCCTACCACTGATTTCATCCTGTCACCTTACCTTCCTGAACTGATACTGCCCCGGAAAAATGCCACCTTTGTCGAGTCCATAGTGGTTAGGCCCTACATGTTCCAGGGGCTGGAGCAGGATTCCACACATGCGGTTAAGCTCCAGGTGGGGCCTCAAGGCTGCCTGGCCCCTCCTGCAGAGGTTGTCCCTAGCAGCCTGCTTCCTGGCTGGCAGCCCTCCATCCACTGCCTCTGTAGCCCTGGAGAAGATGGGCCCTGAGGCTGGCCTCTCATGGGGAGGAGACACCGCTTTCCCTTGCTACCCTAAAGGCTCACAGGCTTGGGAGGGTGGGCTGGGGCCTATTGTGATGGGAAATGGAACAACCCTCTTGCCCAGGCACGGGAAGCTAATGATTCCGTTGGGATGGTGGCTTCCTGAGGGAAAGTGGCTGTGTTTCCTGAAGGCTGACACGAATTTGGAGAATCTAGGGTAGGGAGATGAGAAGGGGGACTCCTGCACCCAAAGTCAGCCTACCCCTGGAGTGGGCCTGTGGAAGGCCGGGTCTCCAGTCTAGAGAGCCTTGCTCTGTCTGGAGTTCTGAATAGCGTTTATACCTGGGACCCAGACATTGATACTTGTACTTAGTCTCAGCAATCCACAGGCAGAGGCAGGAGGATTCCCTGTGAGTTTCCCAGCCAGCCAGGGCTACATAGCAAGACCCTGTCCTAAAGGCAAAAGGAAAAGTCCCCTTGGTGTACCTGTTCAGGCTGACTCAGGTACAGCCTGGCTTGTGGCTGTGGCTGTACTCACTTGCAGGTGGCCGGTGGCTGAACAGGGCCTGCAATGGTCAAAAATACCCATTCTACAGTTTTGCCCAGAGCAAGGTTCTGCTTGGTGCTACCACAACAAAGCAACAAAGATGCAGCCCTCCTTACCTCCAAGTTATCTTTTCTTAGGGTCTCATTCTGACAGCCCCAGGGAGCATGCTCAGTTACTGATCTGGCTGGACCAGGACTGCATCCAGACAGATACTTAAGCAATTGCCTGCAGATGCCGCCTGATGCACTGGGTGTTTGATGTGGGGGTCTCCAGGCTTGCTAGTGTAACCTAAGGACACACGGGTAAAGCTTGTGGGTGGCCAAAGCCCTTTGCCCTTCTGCACATCCCTCAACATGACTTCATTTGTTCAGGTTTGCAAGGGTACCACTTGCCCTTAGGCTGAGAGCTTTGTGATGGTTCCAGAGTGTCACATGGTGGTACCGAGAGCACAGAAATGTTCTAATGCCTCGCCTAGGGACAGGTGCTTCATGGATGCTTATGTGTGGAATGTCACTGCATTGGTTAGGGTTCAGCCTGCTGGTAGGGGGTGCTCTATGAGGCAAGGGCCCCCCCCCACTGCATTTGTGCCCAGCAGGTGAGGCTGCTATGGAGGTAATGAGGATTAAATATTGGACAGTCCTGTGCCTGCAAGTGCTCAGGTGTGTTCTGTTCAGCCATACACCTTCTAGGCTTGGCAGCTTCTGGGACCTTGAAAGACCTTGAAAGAAGAGTGGAGTCATGCCTGGCATTGGTGATGCACGCCTTGAGTCCCAGCACTCCGGAGGTAGAGGCAGGCAGATCTCTGTGAGTTCGAGGCCAGCCTGGTCCACAGAGCTAGTTCCAGGACAGCCTCCAATACAGAGAAACCCTGTCTCAGAAAAAAAAAAAAAAAAAGTGGAGTCACAGGCTTGGGGGGAGGGGCAAGAATGGTTGGTGTAATCGCCTTGGGCCTTTGCAGTTGACACTCTCTGCCTTGAGGTCTTGACCATAAAGTAGGGGATTCTGAGAACAGCAAGTAGCCCAGTGAGACTCACAAGTAGAAAAGTCAGCCTTCTACCAGGAAACCAACAGACTGCCAAGGGACGGAGGGTATCTTTTAGAGTGCCCTGCTGTGGGAAAGGGCAAAGGCTTGGTAGGAAGTGTGGTCTACTGAGGTGGCCTAACACATGCTTGTGCCTGGAAGCTGCAGCGGGCAAGTCACTGTCATTGGCTGGGGTATGGATGAGACCTGGTCTATGGGACACAGGGGAACAGTGTGTTTTTGCTTCAGCCCAGGGTGAGCTGTGCAGGCCTGTTGGTGAAGACAACCTGATCCCAGCATCCTGCCCTGATTTTTGCTGTGGTTCCTGTTCCAGCCAGTATTGCTGCTCTGATGTGCTGAAGAAAGTCCAGTGGAATGAGAATATATGTACTGAGCCAGAGGCCAGGTGGGTGCGGGACGGGGTGCAGAATGTGGTCCATCTCCTGGAGAGCGAGTGCCCTGCCCTCATTGAGCCAGTGTGTGAGGACCTCAAGCCTTGAGAGGGGCCCAGTGGCCTCAGCTGGCTTTGGCTGTGGGTGTGTACTTTGACCCACAGGTCCTGAGGGTGGGCACCTGGTTACGAGCATGCCCCACACTATGTCTGTGCTGTGGTCACGTGTATGCTGTGCAAGGCACAGGGTGTGGATGTGTGCCCAGAGTGGGCTGGGCTGTGTCCTCCTGGCAGAACGTTCGTGTTTATATTCTATCTTTGGTATAGACTGTTGTCATTGGTGAGGACCAAGATGCGTCTCAAATCATCAGGTTGAATTTTTCTTCACGATTGGCCACAGAGTTACAGTTTTCGTGGTCATACTTGGTTCCTAGCACGTTGTCATCATTGTTTTGCACAAGGCCAGAGCATGCCATCTGTGTCCACTTCAATGTCTGGTGGCCATTCTATTCCCCTCCCATCCCACGGGCATCCTAGTCTACTGTGTTTGAGGTATATTCTTAAAAATCTGTATTGTTTGGAGGATGTTCCAATGAATGCCCTCACTCTCTGAGCTCAATACAGTGTTAATAAGGTGGTTGTCTTTCTTGTCAGTCCTTCTTTGGGACCACCAGCCCCCTCCCCAGTAATGACACTGAAACTTTTAATTATGAAAGCTTGGCCTTTAGCTTAGACTTGTTTTCAACCAGCTCCTGTAACCTAATTAGTCCCTATTTTTCCATCTACTCTCTGCCACGTGGCTCTTTACCTTTCTTCAGTATGGCATGTCTGACTTACTTGGAGTCTGCTGGCAAAATCTGAGCACCTAGATTCCTCGTCCTGGTTCTTCTCTCTGCCTATCCTCTCCTGCCTACCTATTGGTCATACAGCCTTTTATTTATTTATTTATTTATTTATTTATTTATTTATTTATTTAGGTTTTTCGAGACAGGGTCTCTCTGTGACTTTGGAGTCTGTCTTGGAACTAGCTCTTGTAAACCAGGCTGGTCTTGAACTCACAGAGACCCGCCTGCCTCTGCCTCCCGAGTGCTGGGATCAAAGGTGTGTACCACCACCACCCAGCCCATACAGCTTTTTATTAAACCAATTAGAGGGCACCTTAGGCAGAGACACATCTTTAGAAGGTACAAAAATAATAATGTCAGGCGGTTGTGGCTCATGACTTTGATCCCAGCATTCAGGAGGCAGAGGTAAGTGAATCTCTGTGAGTTCAAGGCCAACCTGGTCTACAGAGCAAGTTTCAGGACAGGCTCCAAAGCTACAGAGAAACCCTCAAAATAACTGATCCAAAAAAAAAAAAAAAAAAAAAAAAAAAAAGGAATCAAAACTATTATCCCACAAGAGTTGTCACAGCTGTGTCATTCTTTGGTGTGAGTCCAAAATTGTTACCATCAGAGGCGAGGCGGCAGCAGTGGGCATCCATTCTTGTACCCCTTCCTCCTGATTTCATGAATCTATAAGAAGTTCTTGGGGTATGCATGGAATTGGCTGTCTTTATATATATTTTTTTTTTTTTTTTTTTTTTTTGAGAGAGAGGTCTCACAATGTAGCCCTGACTGGCCTCAGATTCACAGAGATCTACCTGCCTTTTCATCTAACGTGCTGGGTTTTAGGTTATGTGTCACCACGCTTGGCATAGAGATGTTGTATTTTAAATTTTTTTCATTATGTTAATTTTATTACTTTAAAAAAAAAAACTTGTTATAGAGTTTCTCTGTGTAGCCCTGGCTGTCCTGTGTCCTGGAACTCCCTCCGTAGACTAGGCTGTCTCTGCTTACTGCCCCCAATGCTGGGATTAAGGTATGCAACAACAATGCCTGGCTTAAAAACTTATTTTAAGATAGATGTTGCCCACACTGGTTTCAAACAACCTTCCCATCTCAGATTACTTAGTAGTTGATATTGTAGGTACATGCATTAAACCCAGTTTTTAGTAATTTTTTTTAAAAAATCTGGTGCATTTATTCCATTTAGATGGCATGACTCACCTAGGGTGTAGTTCAATAGAACACTGAGCCCTGGGTTCTGTGTAAATGGAAGTTTCTGTCCCTCCCAGTCCCACAGCTGTTTAGTCCCAAATAAACACACAGAGGCTTACATTAATTATAAACTGTTAGCCTATTGCTCAGGCTTATTACTAACAAGCTCTTAAATTAACCCACAAGTTTTATCCCTATTTAGCCACATGGCTTGGTACCTTTTCTGAGTAAGGCATTCTCATCTTGCATTCTCTGCATCTGGCTGGCGACTGCTCTCTGCCTTCCTCTTCCCAGAATTCTCCTGGTCTGGTAGCCCCGCCTATAATTGCTGACTGGCTGCCAGCCAATCAGCATTTTATTAAACCAATTTGACAAATCTTTACAGTGTACAAAAACATCTCACATCAGGGTTCAATTGCTAGTACCTCAAAAAGGGCCATCAAATGTATTGTAGTTGTTAATATTATGAAATTATATTTGCCATTTTACTTAGCTTTCTGTTAGTCTCTTATTTTGTACTTTTAAATTTCTTACATTATTTTAGCTTGGTTTTATTCCCTTTATTTTACTTTTAAAAACTTATTACTTTATTTCTTTTTCTTACCTATTGCATTGATGAGATGTATAGATACCCATGTTCTTAATTTTTTTTTTTTTTTTTTTTTTACTTTTATGTGTATCTGTGTTTGCCTGTGTGTGTGTGTATCATGTATGTGCAGTGTCCTCAAGAGGCCAGAAGAGGGTGTCAGGTCCTCTGGAGATGAAGTTGCAGGTAGTTAGGAGCTGCCTTGTGAGTGATGGAACAGAACTCTATCCTCTGCATGTGGAGCTAGTGTTCATAAGTGCTGAGCCATCTCTCCAGCCTTACACCCATGTTTTATTTCCAATTTTAGGAATAGAATGCTAGCTTTTTGGAGTTACCCTCTTTTCATGTGGAGAGTTCCTTGTTAGTCCTACTTTTCTTGGAGTTTTAATGATGGAGGGGTTTGAATTTTTCAAGATGCCCTCCTGCTGTTTCCTGAGATGGTCCTGAGCTTTCTGGTTTTATTCTGTTGATGTGGTAAATAATGCATATCTCACTCTAAAGTAATGTTTATTTTTATTTTGTGTGTGTGAGTGTTTTGCCTGCATGTGTGTCTGCCATCTGCATACCTAGTGTTTGTGGAATTCAGAAGAAGGCATTATTGGATCCCTTGGAATTGGAGTTAGCACACAGTTGTGAGCTGCCATATTGGTGCTGGGAATTGAATCCAGGTCCTCTGGAAGAGCAGCCAGTGCTCTTACTTGCTGAGGCATTGGTCCAGCTCCTAAAGTAATATTTTATATGGGGCTGTTGACATGATTCAGTGGGCAAAGGTGCTTGCCATCAAGCCTGACAACCTGAGTCCAATCCCTGGGACCCACATTGTGGAAGGAAAGAACTGACTCCTGTAAATTGCTCCCTGACCACATATGTGTGCATACTAAATGTAAAATAGGCCTGGTGGTGGTGGTGCATGCCTTTAGTCCCAGCACTCAGGAGGCAGAGGCAGTCGGATCTCTGTGAGTTCAAGGTCAGCCTGGTCTACAAAGCTACACATAGAAGCCCTGTCTCAAAAAACCAAATAAATAAAGTAGGTTGGTAACTTTTTTTCTCTTGGCATATAGAAAGTTCCATTTCACTGCCTCTCTGTTTCTGTTATTTCCATTGAGATATGAGCTTGAAAATCAGTTCAGCTTTCATTTTAATCTCTCAAGAAACGAGAGGGTAAGGGATTCTTTTTCTTGTGTGGCGCTAGGAAGCCAACACAGACAGGGCCTTGGACACATTCCTGAATGAACTTCATGCTTGCCTAATCTTATCCTTCCTTTACATATTTTTCCAGACAGGATCTCTCTTGTAGCCCCTGGCTGGCTTGGAGCTCATGCAGACCAGGCTAGCTAGCCTCTGACTTGTGGTAATCTGCCTGCCTTTGCCTACTGAGTGTTGGAATTAAAGGCATGCACCACCATGCCTGGTTTACAGATTTCTCTTTATCTTTATTTGTGTAGATTTGTTGAACTTCTAAAATTTGTGGCTTAGCATACTCATTAGTTCTGGACAGTTGTCTGACATTTCAAAATATTGCTCCTCACTTCGCCTTTTCCCTCTGGAACTCCCAACTCAACATGAGCTGCATGTGTTCCCTCCAGTGTCCACGACTCTTAGCTTCTTTTCCATGCTCGTGTCTGTATCTTGCTGTCTGGATGCTGGTTTATAGCGATTCAGATTACACAATTCTTTCTTTTGAAGAACGATTATTTATTGTGTATGAGTGTGTGTGAGCACACGCCAATGCCCGGTGTGGATGGGCGCCTCAGTTCACCGGTGGCCGAAAGAGGACAACGTGCAGCAGTCTGTTCGTTTCCTACTACCAGGTTTGTTCCAGGGATTGAACTCAGGTTGTCAGGCGTGGCAGCAAGTACCTTACTGTTGCGGACTATCTCACTACACCTTACTCACTGATCACCTCGTTGCCCCTTTTGTTTGTTTGAGACAGAGTCTTGCTATGTAGTTGTTGCTGGCCTGACACTTGCTCTCTCTCTCTCTCTCTATATATATATATATATATATATATATATAGACCAAGGTGGGTTAGAGCTTGCGGCAATCCGCTTGCCTCTGCCTCCTGAGCGCTGGGGTTAAAGGTATGTACCATGCCTAGCTTTTCATTAATGTTTTTGTTAATGGTTTTTTTGGGGGGTGGGGAGATATTTATTTATTTTTACACAGTGGCCTTGATCTTTATTTTCCTGTACCTGGAATTCTACAAATTCCAAAATTGGTCAATTGATTTATCTTGTTTAATAAACATCACCAGTCGTGCCCACTGATACAATTCAAACCTGACTTTCTCAGTTCTCGAGTTTATTATGAAAACACTGCGTTGACTTGTGCAGTAACATCATCTTACAGGAGGGAAACAGTTCTGTTCAAACCAGCTCACCAGGTTTCCT